TCGGGGATGGACAGACCCCCCTTTCGCAAAACGTGGTTTGGTGAAAACGACCTCGGGCCCAGACCTGGCGGGCGCAAGCCTGGAAAACCGGCCGCGGCGCCCTGGAGAACCGACAACGGACAACCCACTAATCGACGTGTCTGGGCAGGAGCTCTGTCCGCCCCCGAGCGAATCGTGCCAGCACTCCGAGGTCCAGCCCCACGACGCGTGGGAGCACGGGACCCGCGTGTGGACGGCCAGGCCGAGCAGCTGCGCCGCGAGGGCGCCCGCCACGGCCGACCGCGGGAGGGCGGCCGGTGCCATGGCTGCGTCCGCCCGGCCAGCAGCACGCTGCGGCAAGAGCCTCGGGCCGATGTGGCTACTCGTCGGTGGTAGGTAAGAAGATGAAGTAGGAAGTCGGATGAAGTTGATTGGGCTCAGGCCCCCCCAGAGAATCACAAAACACAGCAAAGGCGCGTCGACTCTTGGAGTAGGAAGGCGCTGGAAGTAGATTGGGATCTGGGATATCCAAAAATACCTACTTTCAACGACCGGCGTGTAAGGATGTGTGGTGAGGCAGATGAGGATCGAATCACTCGGGCGCTGGCGGGACCAGGCTCTGTGGGTCCTGATTGGATGGTGCGCCCCGGCGAGCAGGAAGACGGCCCCAGCTCCCCCAGGCCTCCCGGGCCCCCTGGGCCTCCCAGAGCGAGCCGGCCGGTGGGCTCCCGAGGTCTCTCGAAGCCCTGCTGATGGTCCGCTTGTGTGCATCGGGCCTTACTTCGGCCCTGCTCGGGTCAGTGACACCTTCCAAATGGCACCCACGCCCTGGCGGCATTCTAAGTATGCCTGCTCATGGCGGCACTTCTGCCAGACTTGCGTCATCAAAAGGACACTTACCTTGGACGACTCCTGGACGCAATGACGACCCGACCCCCCCCCACTAACTACTACGCAGTGATACAACAATAACTAGGAACTCCCTAGCGAAATCCTGAAAACAACCTTCAAGAAATTATCCTGGCGAAAGGCCCAACCATGTGCAACTGTGGATACCACAATTGTGAACCTCGTCTTCGGTGGACACCCTACGGGGCCACGAACCGTGTGAGGTGTGTGTGTGTATGCCGAATTTCATGGGGTGGCGGCATGTAGTCGCACCCAGTGTGGCCTTTGGTGGAGCTCCCCATGGGGGCACAAAACCCGTCTGGGGTGTACTGAAAATGGGTGGCGCGGGCACATGTGGACACCACACCCCCACAGGCCGAAGGTTGAGCTCCGACGAAGCCTATGATGGGTATGCTGAACTTGATGGCGCAGACGCATGTGGACACACCCAGAGGGGCTTTAGGTGGAACTCCATGGGAACACGAAGCGTGTGAGACAAACTCGGGGGAACGAATGGCAAATATGAGACCGCAGTGGACCGACGCGTGCTCGGACTCTTGGAAAGTGACAATGGCATGGCATGCTCCCTCAGGAACAACCACGGGGTGATGACTCACAGTTCGGGGTCGGTTATTGATGTGGTTGCTGCTAGCCCTCGCCTCCGCCTGGCCGTTCACGCGGGTGGAATCGGAGAAGAGGGGGTGCGCAGCGACCATGCAAGATTGGACGTATTGTGTGAGTCGAATTTCAATTTGCCGCCGCTTCACTTCACTGGGCGAGCCCGGTGGGGAGCTGATGGAGATTGGAACGCTGCGTTATCGATCATGCCTTTATCCATCCATTTTGTGGCGGGGTGGGCGGGGCGTGCTATCCACACCCAACAGCTTCGAGATTGGGCGGAAGTGGAAAGAAACGTGGGGTACGGCAGCGCATTCTAGAAAAGGTCGTGTGGTGGCGGGCAGTGCTCTATACTTTCTGTGGTCATTATGGTGGGCTGGTGGTTTGCACGCCGCCTAGGTTACCTGCGTGGCACGCTTCTGTCAGGCATCAGTTGCGCGATTATTTCGGCGACGACGGTTCCGTGGATGCGACGGCCCCTCCCCCCCAGCAGCTGGACGCGTACCGCTGGTTCACTCTGGAGGGCAACAGGCGCGCCGAGGCGGTGCTCACGCGGCTCTTGATCCCGCGACGCCCGTTGGCATTGGCACTGCGGGACGTGGTTACTGGGGACCCGCTGGGCCCGGAGAGCGCGTTGGAAGCGCTCACGGAGAACGTGCTACATCGTGGTGCGCTTGCAGGGCCTGGAACCCCCGCTACAAGCCGATGGGTTAGCGAGCAACTTCGGCAGTTTAGGCAAGAAGCGTTGGCGGCGGCCTCGGCGGAGGCCGTTATCCCATTTTCGATTGAGACGGTCTGCAATCTTGTGGATGAGATCAAGGTGGATAAGGCTAGCCAACGATTGCCCCACCGTGCTGGTAAAGCGCCGGCTGGTCTTGTACTTACGTGGGCAATTACCAATCTTGCCGCGGTGTTTGGGCTGGTTGCCACTGGATGGGTCCGCGAAGTGACCCCGGCCCGGAAACGGGGGCCACACGTAGTCTCGACCTTGCGCAACATCCGCCCGCTCAGCCTGGTGGACGAGCTAGCGGGGGTCTTGGACGCATTGTGGTTGCGCGCGGTACGCCCGCAGCTAGAATCGTACACGGGCGGCGAGCAGGCAGGGGGCAAGTGGGACGCGTCGCTGCTCGCCATTGGTATCGTGGTGGCGATGCAGGCCAGGCGGTCTGCCGGGCTCCCTTCCTTTCTGCTCAAGGGGGACCTGGCGAATGGCTTTGATATGGCATGAGGGACGCAGTTAAACTGTTGCTGTGGGACAGCGGCGTCAGGGGCAGGTTGTGGCTCCTTGCGGATTCCGCGCTAGGGGATGAACAAATTCGTGTCCGCTGGGGGCCCCTGTTGGGAGAGGTTGTGCGGCTTGCTGACTTCGGCCAAGGGCGTCGGCCTGGTGTGCACCTGTTCGCTGTACTTATGCGCGCCATGGCCATAGAACTGCAGGACTACGTAACAGGTGCTGGCGTGGATCCACCGCCGCAGGCGGTGCGGGCGTGGCACGAGGCGGGAGGACTGGAAGGTGATGTCTCCCGAGAGACGGTGTGGCCGCGCGTTCGGTTGGAGGCAGCGATTGCGGAGGGGTATGGCCGACCAGACTGGCCCGAGCATATGTGCTCCCTGGCGGGGGCGGGAGAACAGCTGGCGTTCTTGGACATTGTTTCGCCCCGCAAGGTCGGCTTGGCGCAGTTCGTGGATGACGCCTTCTTGCTGCAGTCCTCGGTCGCGGGTGTGCGTGCAGCGTGCGCCCGTCTGGACGTGTGTTCTGAGCGGTGGCGCCACGCATTCCAAGGCGGCGAAAAACGTCCGCCAGTGCTGCCAGTGGGCGCCCCACAGGGACCAGCGGGCTGCTATGGTGCTGTGGGCGGGGTGGTGGTGGAGGCTCGCGAATCAATGCATGTATTGGGCACGCTGGTGGATGCGGGCCTCACCTTCCAGCCGCTGTTGGACCGCGCCTACGCTATGATTGTCTCCCAAACGCAGGAAATGGTGACGTCGATCGAGGCCTTGGGCCTGGACCTCCCCCTGCTTGCGGCGCAGTTTGGGAAGCGCATATTACCTGCGGCGCTGCATGGTGACGAATCGCTGGCGTGCCATATAAGCGGTTGGGCGGTGGTGTCACGGCGTCTGAACGAGGCTATGTACTCGGCTACCCAGATCATGTTGGGGCTGCGGGCCAGCACGTCCCTGGGTGCTGGGGGCCATGTGCGTTGCTTCTCTGAGCTACGGCTGTTCACGCGCGTCGCGGCGATGTTGGCCCAGCGGATTATCACCGCCAGGGCGCGAATCGAGCTCCTCCCTGCAGAAGCGGTGGCTCGAGTGGCGTGCTCGGGCGCAGCAACTGTCACAGGGGAGACGTGGTGTGACCGGGCTGACGCCATCGCCAAGAGTTATGGGATTACACCACCCCACTTGACTCAGGACCTGGCGGCCGTGGATCGCTCTGATAGGGTCACATGCCGTGCTTTGGTAGGGCAGTGGAGGCGCACAGCGGTTGTGCCTGCCATCAGGCGCGCGGACGAGGAGTGGTTCTGCGAGCAGCTTGCTCTCCTGCCAGTAGCGGGCGGTGCACCGCACGCGGTTCTGGCCCCTGCGCGCTCGCCGTTCCCGTTGGGACCACAGCGGGCCCCTCGGAACCTGGATTCTTGCACGAGTCACTGGCTCTGTTCCGCTGGTTGCGTGGGGCCGTGGTGGACTGGTTCCTGCTGTCGCGCCTTGCCCGTTGTGCGAAAGTAGCGAGGCTACACTGGACCATCTGCTGGCGACCTGCACCAGAACGGAGGTTTTGCGGCAGGAAATGCCTGGAAGAAGCGCTACGGCAGTTACGCGGTGGGTGCTACAAGGGGCGCCGACGGTGGAGGACATGCTTTCCAGACTTATATGTTTTGGCCAGGTTCGCGAGGCCTTGGCAACAGCAGTACCATTATTCAAGATGTTCTGGTTCCGCCGCCCCTTGGAGGGGTGGGGGCTGCGGGTTTGCTGCTGGCGCTCCTTGCCGTGCCCGTGCTGCCGGTTCGGTGCCTTGTTGCCGGCTGCTTGCGGCCCGCTGCTTCGGCCGTCGTTGTCGTTGTGGCCGTCGCTTTTGTCTTCGTCGTCGTTGTCGCTGTCGTCGTCGCCGTTGTCGCCCTCGTCGTTGTCGCCGTGGTCGTCGCCGTCGCTGGCGTCGCCTCCCCCCTTGCCCGCCCCTGTCCCCTGTGGCGGGGCTGCACGGAAATTCGTAACAAGGGAATGCAGATGTTGGTCTCGATTCCAACTTTCGTTTCTCCGCCGCCCCTGGGGGGGGGGGGTCGGGGTGGCTGCTTTTGCTCTGCTGGTGGGGTCGCCGTCGTCGCCGTCGCCCCTGCCTGCCTTGTGCTGGTGATGGGTGTCGTCCCGTCCGCCGTCGGTGTCGGTGCCGTCGCCGGCGTTGTGGGCCTCGTCGTTGTCGGCGTCGTTGTCGTCGCCGCCGCCGTCGCCTCCTTCTTGCCCCTCTCCCTGTCCCCCTCGTCGCTTTCGTTGTCGTCGTCGCCGTCGGCCTGGCCTTTCTCCGCCCACCCCCTGCCCTGGTCGGGGCCGTGCGGCCATGTGTGACAAAGGTGCGCGAAGAGCAACCTGGGCGTGGGAGGGTGCAGGAACGGGGGGCCCATAGGCCCTCGAGGCGGTCGGCGCCCCCGTCCTGGCCCAGCGGGGCCTGGCGTGCCCGCGCGCAACTGCGCGCAACCAACTGCGAAAAGGGAAAAGGGAAGTGGAGGAGGAGGAGGAGGACGAGGAGGAATAAACCAACTACCGCGAGGCAAGATCCCTTTAACGAGGGCGCGACGACAGGAGACGGCGGAGCCCGGCCACGCAGTCGCAGCGGCGTTTGCGGCGGGCCGCCGGGTCTCGTGGCGCTGCCTCCGCCAGCAGCGCCTCTTCGGCAAGCGCTGCTCCGCTAGGCGCCTCCCTGGCGGGCGCCTCGGCACTGGGCGCCGTGGCGGCGAACTCCTCCGCGGCCGCCGCCTCCACCAGCTGGTCCGCGATGCGCTCCAGCCACGCGAGGTGGGGGCATGCCCGCAGCCAGGCGCCAGGCAACGCCTTGGCTCCCGCCGCACACCCGAGCAGCGCACCTGCGACGGCGGCGTTCGTATCCGCGTCGCCCGCGGCCATGGTCAGGCGGTGCACGGCCTCGCAGAAGGACCCCGCGTCGAGGCGGCCCCCGCGGCACGCGTCCCTCAACGACCCGAAGGCGGCCCCAAGGCAAGTGTTCACGTAGCCCATCAGTGGCCCGTCCAACCTCTTGCCCGGCCACTCCTCGCCCAGCAGCGCGGCGCGGAGCTGCTCCATGGCGACGGCGCGGGAGTATGCGTGCTGGGACGCCTCCGCCTGCGTCCACCCGCCGCCAAAGCCGGCGTTGACTGTCCCAGCGCCCTCCGCAGGGCGTGGGGTCTCGCAGATCATGCACTGCGTGGCCGCTGGCTCGTTCTCCATCGTGCACGCGGAGCAGGCCCACACCTGGGGCGCAGCCTCGCCCAGGGCGGAGTCCTCCAGCAGGAAGGGCTCCGCGGCCGCCAGCGCCCTTTCTGCGACAGCCGCCACGTCCCAGCCGCCCGCCGCGTTGCGGCCAAACCCGTCCAACATGAGCGACGCGGCCGTGGCCACGGCCACGCACGCGGCCGTGGAGCGCGGGTCGGCATGGGTGACCTCCGCGATCGTGGCCGCGTCGCAGGCCGCGAACGCCCTGCCGCGCACGCCGGTGGCAGCCGCGCGCATCAGCGCGCCGTTAGGCGCCAGGCAGCGGCCCGTCGTCTCCCAGGCGCGGCGCGCGGCGGCGCGCGGGTTCTGCAGGAACGCCGGGTCGTCGAGCACTCGGGCGGTGGCCCGGCCCATGCCGCAACCGCCCTGGTCGCCGAGCTCGGGGAAGCCGCGGCGGTGCCACTGCAGCAGCGCGCGCGCGAACTCCTGGGCGTCCGGCGCGCGCAGCCCCCGCCTGCACTGCGAGCCCCCCGGCTGCGGCCGGGGCAGCATGGCCCGCAGCGCGAGGACTGTCTGCGGGAGGAGGAACCGGGGGCACGAGCATGAGCTCTCGTAGGTCCGCGGCGGACTTCTTGCATCGACGCTGAGCCCGCCTGGCGGCGCTTTCGGCGCCGCCCCTGGCGCGGTCCGCGCGCCAAGAAGGGAAGGAACAGGCTCAGCGCCGATCCGAGACATCCCGGGGCCTCCGAGAGTTGATGCTCATGCCGCCTTTTCTTCTCAGAGTCTGGTCGGTGTCGTCCGTCCAGTCTCCAGGCTGCCACTTGGATCGGTGCCCGTCCCTCACCTTCGCGTGAAGGAGACGGGTCCTGAGTCGGCGACTCCGAAGGGTGTGGTTTGTAAAAGGTGTGATTTGCAACTGGCACCCTGGTGGGCATCCTGGGGGACGGGCAAGGAGCTCGACAGAGCTCTCCGCCGCGCCCCGAGGAGGCCCGACGCGGACAGTGTCGTGCTCGTCAGGCCCTTACGCTGACGATCGCAAAACACACCAAGGCGTAACCATACCCTTTGTGTTCGCCGACTGAGGAAAGCGAGTCCTGGACCCGGGGGACTTCCGCAAGGACCAGCTGTTCTTCCTGATGTGTCTTTCCTTCGATGAGGGCACTGAATCAGAAACACTCAAATCAGGAACCAGGGTCTGGAAGCCGGCGGATCTCCAACCGAGGCTTGGCCATGGATCTGGCCGCCGCCGCCCTCAGATATGGAATCTTCCTAGGTCTGATGCCTCCTGAACACATTCCTCAACGAACGCCACCTCCGTAGCACTCCCAGGGCCCGTGGAGGGCCCGACATCGGCAGCAAAAAACCTCAGGACCCGGTGCCCTCAGGAACTGTGTCTTGAGCAGGGGCCGACCGCCCTCGCCTTCCGATCGGCCTACCACGAGATCTTCTTGCCGGCGCAAACAAGGGAGTAGGTAGAGGGGGAAAGGCTTCTTAGAAGGAGGCTGCTTCTCAGAAGGCGCCGGCCTAACACAACCATAGACACGGCCCCCGATTTCTAAGAAGAAGAGTGCATCTAAGAAGCCTTCCCCCCCCTTCCCCCCTATGCGCGTGGCCTATCCTCTGAGAAGCATAGTTAAACCAAAATCAATATTCTAAGGGCCCACAGCCGATGTATTAGCCAATATGACCTCAGGCATCTCGGGCAAACCACGAAAGGTCCTCCGATGCTAGTTGTTTTTCTCTGGTAGGCCTAATTATAGGAGGCCTCCTAGATGGGGTCCACGTAGATGGGGTCGGACGATTGCGCCGCATCGGCGACGTCGGCCATGCATCGGCGCCATCGGCGCGGGGCAATCCTGGCTACACATCGAGCCGCATCGCCCATGCATCGGCGATGCGGCGCGATCCTCCCACCATATCTACTATTGTGGATGCCAAAATGTTTGCTTAACATTTTTAAACCACCATACTATTGATACATCTTATAGACCTCTGGAAATTATTTGGCAGCATGCTTCCTCTCCATTAATCGATTTCCACAGATCTGCTGCGACCTCATCTACCGGGGATGGACAGACCCCCCTTTAGTAAAACGCGGTTTAGTGAAAACGACCTGAGGCCCAAACCTGGCGGGCGCAAGCCTGGAAAATAACGGCCTCGGCGCCCTCTCGAGAACCGAAAACGGACAATTCACTAATCGACGCGTCACTGTTGGGGAATCTGTCCGCCCCCGAATCTGGGAGGCCTCGGTTCGTGGCGCTCGCCCCGTCTCCGGGCCGCAGGTGCGCGGCCTCGCCGGCCTCGGCCCTGCGGGCCAGCAGCGCCGCGTACGCCTCGGCCGCCTCCTCCTGGCCGGAGGCTCGGAGAAGGGGCACCACAAATGAAAACGAGGCCAGGAACCATACAAACATGGAACGAGGTAAAAATCAGGTTCGATTTGTCGAATCGCTGCAAGCGTCGCCGAAGATGCTTGCCATGGCGTGGACACCATCGGTTTCGCGGATCAAGATATGCGCTCTGCTGAGATGGGGCTGCGGGCAGCGCGCGGCCGCTCGTGCCCAACGCACATGCTGAATATCAACACAGGGGGTGCCCCAAGCAAGTCCGGCCAGGCGATTCGAAGAGCCGCACGCCCCATTAATGGGGACGGCAACGGAAACAACTGTGTGAAACAACAGAGACGACTCCCTGCGCAAATGAAGAGCAACACCCCTCTCATACAGAATGCTCGGCGCCGCGCGCGGCGAGGATGCCTCGCGGTTGCGCGGGTGCTCCCGACCCGAGGAAAGCGATGCTGGATGCTGGTTCTGGTGGTGATTGTTCGACCACCTGAAAAGCCGAGAAGCCCGAATGCGGTCGGGATCTTTTGGATAGCATATCGCTCCGTGGGTTCTGGTTCACCACTTTCCGGCGCGACGCGCTATCCACTTCCTGGCCCCCAGGTGTCAAAGTCCCAAGGCTTTTCCGAGCCTTCCGCCCCTCGGGGCGGAGCGACACGCCATCCGCTCCCAGGGAATTGCGTGTCGCCGGCGCTGCCGCGGCGACGCGCTGCCCAAAAGTTCCCGGCCGCATTGCCACCGCCGAGACCAGGATCACCTCACCTCGGTGGAGGCCCCCGCCGAACCGGTGGCGGTGCCCGCCTCTGGGCCTCCGGTCCTGGGTCATGAACTCCGTGGCCAGCCCGACGGCGTCGCCGAGGGCGCACCCGAGCACAAGCCCGCGCAGGCGGTCGGCGCGGCTGGCCATGGCCGGTGTGGGGCGTGCGCTGCCTACCCCTTCCCCCCCCACGTTCGGGCACAAAGGCCCTGAGCCAGAAGCTCTCGGCTGCACTAGAAGAAGAATAGGAATCACAAGGAGAAGCAAGTAACTGCATAAGCCTAAACTTTCGTAGCTCCGCGTGGAGTTCTCGGAGCTGCGCTGAACCCCCCCTCCCTGGCGCGCTGGGCGCGCCATGGACGGCGCCGGAAGCGCCGCCAGGGGGGCCCATCCGAGAATTTATGCTTACGCAGTTTTTTGCAAGTCGATGCGAATGGGGAACGAAGGAGGAGGAGGCGGCGGATGGAGAACGGGGTCCAAACATTTGATTTGCAACTGTCGACGCCATCTTGCTACATGCTGCGCGTGGACGCTGAACGCTCACACGAACGAGGAGACGCGCATATGTAAGCCGGTAATCCAAGGATGCGATGGACGTGCCAAAACTGATAACGGTGGACATGCTGTCACCCGCGCACTGGATCAAGACAGCGGCCCCTCAGAGGCCCTGGTGCACTCAACGACGAACTAGCTATACTCACAGAATGTGTATATATAGACTACTGCCAAGAACGCCATTGCTGTAAACTTGCAAAGACGCTGCACGATCTTCAAAGTCTAAAACGAGGCGGTCACGCTGTGAGCGACCCTGTGACTGGCCGAAGCTCTGTTGAGGGGTGAGGAATTGATTGGGGGAGCTCTGCTCAGCCTCGGGTTTACAGAAGACCAAGTTTCCGAGAGCCTGGAACACCAGGCCCTTGGAGGGCCACTCTTCCAGGATTAGAGGAACAATGCAAAACCATAAGCAGAAGCTTTTGGCGGTTCGCGCGGATTCCTTGGACCCGCGCTGGACCCTTTCCCTGGCGCGCGGATCTCCGAAAGTTTATCTTCATGCCGTGTTTTGCTCTTCGAAGGATGCGCGCCGAGCGCGCTCGAGGACGCCGGGCAGCGAGGCGAGGACTGCGGGCCGGAGCTCTTGCGGTGTCTCCCGCCGGGGCGAGAGGAGGTCTTCGGCCAGTGCAAGCCCTCGCTCTACGCAGCTAGCCCTGCACCCTGGGCCACCTCGCTTCGGGCATCGCGCCAGCACGGTGCGCGAGGACGCGCGGCTCTCTCCGCGCCCTCGCGCCACCCCCTGGAGAACGATACCAGGGGAACGAAGAATTACACAAACAGAAAAACTCGGAGGTCCGCGCGGATCTCCCACATGGAATGACAAAACGACATAATGAACATAATCTTTCGGAGTTCCGTGCGGATTTCTCGGATCCGCGCTGGCCCCCCTCCCTGGCGCGCGGAGCGAGCCAGAGGCGGCGCCGGAGGCGCCGCCAGAGGGCTCCAGCAAGAGGAGGAGGGAGGAGGAGGAGGGAGGAGGGGGAAGATCAGGAGGAGTGAGGAGGGGGAGGAGGAGGAGGAGGAGGGAGGAGGAGGAGGAGGAGGAGGAGGAGGAGGAGGAGGAGGAGGAGGAGGCGAGGAGGAGGAGAGGAGGCGAGGAGGAGCGAGGAGAGGAAGAGGAGGATGAGGAGGACGAGAGGAGGAGGAGGAGGGAGGGAGGGAGGAGGAGGAGGAGGAGGGAGGAGGAGGAGGAGGAGGAGGAGGAGCAGGGAGGAGGAGGAGGAGGAGGAGGAGCAGGAGGAGGAGGAGGAGGGAGAAGGAGGAGGGAGGAGGAGGGGGTATGGTTCTCGCTGGGGGACGTCCACGGACCACCTCACCGATCCTGGCAGAAAGCAGACCCTGGGCCCACAGTCGGCGGATACAATGGAAACCAATCCACACAGAAACCTTCCACAAAGAGACCCAAACCGGAGACTCCAGGACGCCCACTGATTTTTGGTGTGGTTGCGTCACGCTCTCCACGGCAAAACAAACAACGAAGGCATGGGTCTCCAATGTATAGCCCCGCGGCCCAGACCGCGACGCGCAGCGCGCAGGTATGTTCGCGCCCCTTGGGGTGACCTGAGGAGGATCTGCCTGCATCGAGGTATTAGATCGGATCGAACCGAGTCGGGCTACGTTGGCACGGAAGCGAAAACGAATCGGATCGGCTGCGCCAGAATGCACCACAACGACGCCATGCAAACACTGGGCCGCATCGGATTGTCAGAATGTCGGTGTCGGATCGGATCGTGCTGGCAAGAGTCGATATCGAGTCGGATCGATCGAATCGAAATGGACACTACCTAGATACGTCCTGGCCTCCCATTACAACCATAGCCTTTTCTTAACGAGCGCGAGCAAGCCTGGAACCGATCATTCGAAAAGCGGGGCGCGTAAAGACCCGCTCAGAAACCTCGCAGCTCAGATCAACGCCATCTTCCACTTCGGACTCCCCTTTGTCAGCGGCCAAGCGCATTCTATTTCCGCAGCGGGGGCAATCCAAGGCCACATGCCCAGCATCCCCAAGACGGCCGAGCAGCTTCACTGCCCAAGCCCACTGCGCAGGTCAGTTGGCTGCGTCGGGCGTCTTCGAGTTCTCAACGGGCTCTCTTGATCTGTGACCAAACCATTGGTACTGGCCCGAATGTCTTCACATACACCTCGGTAGAAAGAGGGAGCACGATGAGGATGAGGGAAAGGGGGAAAAGGGCGGAGGGTGCGGAGGAGGGGGACGATGAGTATCCTGAGGATGAGGAGGACCCCCTCAAATCACCTTGACTCTCTGAACATGTCACGAGGGATTGACGGCCTGTCCGATCCGGCCACGTGCGACCGTTTCACCCATCATACCGACACCTGCGCAGGGGCTGGTATTGCTTTGAACAAACAGGTGGGCTGGCTCGCTTCGAGAAACTAGGACCTGGTCGTGGGCCGCCCCCAGGGGAGAAATCGTCGTCGTCGTCGTCGTCGTCGTCGTCGTCGGCAGACTTGGTTGGCAAAGTGTCGTGGTTCCCAATGGGGGATGTGGAACAACGGGTTGCCCTGCTGCTGCCTGCCCTGCACGTTGGCCTCTGGACTCTGGAGGGAACACTGCTACATCCTACTGCCAGACGACGGCGCAAAACACAATTATCCTGGCGAAGTGCCCAATCATATGCAGTTGTGTGTGCCACAGTTCTGAGGGTCGTCTTGGGTGGAGCTCACTGTAGGGCCACAGCGTGTGTGAGGGGTGCGCCGACATGGGCAGGGAACCGCATGCAAGGACTGTCACTGGGGCCTTAGGTGGAGCTTCCTGTGGGGCCACGAAACGAGAGATCGGTGTGCCGAGAGGGGTGTGCCGGAATGGGTGGGGAACCGCATGCGAGGAAGGCCAAATGTTGGGCCACGACACGTGTAAGTGGTGTGCTGAAATTGGCGGGGGCGGGGAGCCGCATACGAGTCCAGCCGGTGGGGCATTAGGTGGAGCTCCCTGTGGGGCCACGGAACGTCTGCGGCTGGAGCCACGAAACGAACGAGGAAGGTGGCGAAATGGCCGTGCGGCGGGGCGGGGAGCCGCATGCGAGTCCAGCCACTGGGGCGTTAGGTGGAGGTCCCGATGGGGCCACGAAACATGTGAGGGGTGTGCCGGAACATGCCGAAATGGTTGTGCGGAGGGGCGGGGAGCCGCATGCGAATCCAACTACTGGGGCATTAGGTGGAGCTCCGTATGGGGCCACGGACCTGTCAGGGGTTTGCCGAGATGGTGGTGCGAAGGGGCGGTGAGCCGCATAAGAGTTCAGCCAATGAGGCATCGGGTGGAGCCCCTTATGGGGCCACGAAACGTGTGAGGGGTGTACCGACATGGACATGAGAAGGGCAGAGGCAGGGATGGCTGGAGGGAGGGAGGGAGGGAGGAGGAAATGAGAGGAGGAGAGGAGGAGAGGAGGCGTCGCGGGGCGCTGCTTCTTCAAAGCGAGGGCCCAACATCACAGGACGGTTGGGAAAAACTGAGGAGAGCCCGAACCATGAGGTCGTCGGGAAACGCATCCAGAATGCTCGCCAGCATGGTGGGCCCAAGAGCGTGATGATCATGGATTCCTGTATGGGCCGTTGGTGAGGGCAGTGGCAGGCGACGAATCGAGGCTCGTCGTCTTACACTGGACTGGTGAACAACGTGCGGAACGTGGATGTGGGTATCCAATTGTGATCGTCAATGGTTTCACTACTCTCCTTGACGAGCACATGATCGGATGAACGGGGCCGTTCCTCGGATTCAGTGTGGAAAGAACCGCGGTGAGAGAGTGACCGACACCGGGACTACTTCCTGTGGCCCAAAACCATTCGCACGGACGGGACCACGGTGCACCCACACCGGCTCTCGGATTACGAAATGGTCCACGTCAGTATGGATAAAAAGAATACTGCGCAACCTGCCAGGGGCAATGCGTGGCGACACGCTGCCCGCCTCGCCTTACCACGGCGCCTGCTTACCATAATTGTTTGGACAGCCTCACAACAAGGGGCACAAAAGGTACTGGGACGGTTCCAGCTACTACTCCGACATCGCTGGTGCCAACGCCTAGCACCTCCTCTACCCATGCCTTATCTTACCAACCCGCCCCCTCCACCTACGACTTCGGACCTGCCGGCTGCTGCGGGCCAGGAGGAGGATCGAGGAGGATCGGAGGAGGGAGGACAAAGAGGAGAAACTGACGAAGATATTAAAACGAAGGCGACGTATGATGAGCGTCTTGCTGTATGCTCGGGGCCCCTGGGAACTTTACCGTTGGCATCATAATTGGATCGAAACCGACGGACCACGTGGTGTGCTCAGGCGGAAACATCCTTATGCTCTGAACCAATGTCCACTTGCGCAGGAAGGGAGGGCCGCCAAATCGTCCTGCTTACATATCGGCCTGGACACGGAAGGATACAAGTGGTGATTCATGGACCCGCCACGCGCGCCAGTTCCCGCAGTTTCTCGGACACTTGGTGGACAACAAGCCAGGAGAGGGCGGCACGCAGTTAGCGGAGTTGGCAAAGAGGGACCAGCGCGCCCGCAGGCTGTGGCGAGTCAGGGGGGCCACGGCTTCAAACCCTGCCCCAACCCCCGATTCTGAGCAGACGAGCGGCAAGGGAAGCAGCGGAGGAGGACAAAAGAGCGGCTCACCTGTATGTGGAGAGCCAGGAGCAAGACCCCAGCGGCATGGGGTCTGCAACGAACGTACCACTCTGGAACCACTCCTCACCACCTACTGCTGAGCGGGCAGTGGAACATGTACTCTCCACCACCCTGGATGGGTTCAAGATGGGCATGCTGGAGATGGACAATGCAATCCAAGGGTTTGGCAAAACAACACCAGCGTGGACTCGCAACGAGGTGCGCACCTACTCCAAATCAGATTATGCGATATCCGACCCAGCGGGCGTCTCAAAGCTCCAATCGGCTACCGAATACGTCGACCAATGCGTGGCGAAGCGTGTCCGGGATTCTTGCGACAAGTTTCTATAGTTGCAATTCGGGCAGCGTTGTGCTATGATACCCTGATTCGTACACGGAGTAGCTTGACGCAGCCTGGGCGGACTTCGATCATGCCCAAGACCAATTTCACCACTGTGCCAATGATGCCGCCCCCAGCGCCACGGAATTCTTAGGAATGTGTCGAGGAAAGAATCCGCCAGGCCAAACAAGTGGTGCCAGGAGGTGCTGATACTCCTCCAAACTCCTTGAGGAAATCATCTCCAAGTGCGCTGATGCTGAACGACACGGTTGGTCGCAAAGTCTCCTGCAGTGGAGGCATACCTATCTTGCCAAGGACAAAACCGCTTCGACACATCTGCTTACACAACTGTGGCCAATAGCGATTGCGGGCGCCATTGTGCGGACCAGGCGTCGCTGGTGACCCGACTAGCTCACGGTATACCTGCAACTTGCTTTCCATCCACACAAAGAGACGCGACGAAAGGACGCTCGTTCGAACAACTGATCGAACCTTGCATGTCCCTGCTCGAAACGGCAGATCGCCTGGGTGCGTAGGAAAACGCTCCATCCGTTCAAGAAGCTCTCCTTCGCCAGCGGGGAGGAGAGTTGCATGTGAAGTCTTGAGGCTCCGAGCCCGCACTTGAGACTCTCACCACGCATGGTGGGTGTAGTGTAGGGTCACCTCGGTGTCTCTGCTTAGATCACGAACAGCATTGTCCACGCGTGGGCACGCAAGTAGCGGTGGTTTGAGCTGGGCTCCTACCTGTCCGACCACCCTATCCTCGTATGACAGAGTATGCCTCAAGGCGACCCGGCTGCCATGCTGGGATCCTCATGGCACCGCCGCGGGCAAGCAGCGTTATTGCACTGCACACGATTTGCTACACCTTCGCAATTAACCAGCCGGCCAGAAAAACAACCGCAGAGAAAGTGCAGCGCACTCAAAAGAAATGATATCATCTGGAGTGTGTTACTGTCTTGCGACCCAACAAGCCAAACACCAAAGCATTCGGGATCGGAATGGATTAACGACGTCCCGACAACCAACTGGCTGGGATGAGCATGGAAATGTTGGAACTGCATCTCACTCTACACAGGGGCTTGGGTGACAACTCGTGAACAGTGCAAATTGAATGAAGGATGCACGCTGCTCGGCGTGCATCGCGTGCCTCCTTACCTTCTGTTTACGACGACAGGCCGTCACTACCATGGCGTTTCCGCTGTCCACGTAGGCATCTGTGCCAATCATCACCACCCCAGAATGCCGTTATCGAGACGCGAAAGCGTCTTGCCCGACAGGAGGAGCCAGTCAAGAAGGAACGGGCTGCCGCCCTAGAGCTGCCCCAGATACAACCAAACATATAAGCAACAAAGCCTATCGCTTAAGAAATCTGGGCCAGCTACCCTGAGGTTTCTTCAAACAGACCTGGGTCAATCTCTGCTGCAAACGCTGGATGGGGCGAACAGGCGAACGTTCTCAAGAAACTGGGCCAGGGTTCCGGCAAGTTGGCTAGAAACGCTGGCCTAGCTTTTCGGGAGGAGCTTTCTTAACCAGATGCTCGACCCTAGTTATCAAACTGACGAGCGCGACCACCTGTGTAGAGGTCCCTCTTACTGCCCTGGCACGGACAGCGGCCCGCAAGGGCCCGACATAGTGGCCTTCTGCGGGAGGGCCGTCACGCTCGCGCAGACCGAGGGCCCGACCTACGCCGACACGTCACACCTGGCCGCGTGCGACGACATCGGCCCGTGGCAGGAACTCTCCGGCTCTCCGACAAAACAGACAGGCAGCTGCACGAGCTGCGCCTCATCCTGCGGTCCACCGAGTGGCCCGCCCTCCACAAGCAGCACGCGGCGCGATGGCCCCTTGGCCTCTGGCGTACCGTTCCCGGCCGCCGCCCTTCGCGCGCACAGGATGCCCTTCGAGAAGTGCCCACCCATTGGCCCTCGATAGCACACGCCAGCGCACGCTGATGCGCTCCAAGGCCCCCATGACTTGCCACCGAGGCACGCAGTGCTGCCCTGCCCCGCTCCCCTCGCAGCCGCGGCGAGGGGGAAGGATGAAGAGCACATCTCTGGCGCGGCAGCGCAGCACGAGCGCCCGGGCGCGCCGTGCAGTGGAATGAAACGTGGGGCCCCAGCTCGGATGACCGCGGGGGGGGCTAAAGGGATGAAGGTATTCAAAGTATATGCTACGGTAAGTCTTGTAGTAGGGAGGGAAGAGGAGCGGACAACATGCTTCCACAGCTGGCACCACACGAGCTTATGAGTGGGCTGCACATACCCTGGGCGGCATACGGAGGGGGGGCAGAGATCTGGGCTAAGCGGGCGGAGCCCACTTACAGGAGTTACCTGACCCTCTCAATCCACCCAGGGCACCTCTAACCCACTTGGCAGCTAGGCTGGGCAAGATAAAACCTACCTCCACCCCGATCCCCTCAGCAGCTGCCGCGGTCATCCAAGAGGGCCATTCTCGAGCGCCGAACGTATCCACATCCACGTCTTCGAGGTCTGGATTCCGGGGCGTGGCCCCGTGGTTACACGGTCGCACGGATGCGTTCCGCGCGGGGGGGCACCTGCGAACCAGACGCCCCGTGTCCACGGGGTCGCGGCGCAGGGGCCCCTGCCCGCGAGGCAGTGGGCACGGATTTGCTTCCGAGGGGGGGGGCATATTTTCGATTGCGGGCCGACATTCGCACAGGGGGGGCAGCGAGTCAGCTGCACGCGCCGCTGGTTTTCAAGCGCCTCCCGGCGCCCGAGGCGGCGGCGCATAGATCGAGGAAGGCACCCAGCCGCGGCCGAAACCAGCCTCACGAAGCAGAGTTAGCGCCCCCCCCCCCTCTCTAAGTCGCCCCCGCCCTGTCCTCACCCCCATTGTTTGACGCCCCCGACCCATCCCCGTTCCCTCGCCCGCGCCCTCTCCCGCAACGCTACGCTTTGTTTTTCTCTCGCAATGGGGAGGCGGGGAGGCCTGAACCCATACCCTGAGGGAGGCTTTTCATCCTGGGTTGTCTTGTGACGGCCCCAGTGCCTGGCAAGGGACGCTCGAAGCAGGAAGACTGCCAAAAGCTTCCCTTCGAGACTTGTGTTCCGACGCGATGGGGGGTCTGGGTTTCGTTCGACCTAGAACAGGAAGGAAGGAAGAGGACAACGTGTTCCACCTTGTCGTTTTTGATGGCGTACACGGTGCCCTTCTGCCACTCGCCGAGGTCGCGGACCATCACAGGCTCCCCGACCTGAGGCGCGCGCGCGTGGGGGCGGCCGCAGTGTCACGAGGGACCGACACCGCTACTCCCCAGACCTCTCCCGGGGTGAGCTCTGACAAGAATTCCAAGGTGAATCCAGCGGTGGCGAAGAGGGCCTCCCAGGATGCCCAGAAAGGGGAAAACGAGGCACGGGGGTAGCGGTATGTGAGCTCTATCCCCTCCAGGGGAACGCGCTGCTCTTCAACAGGAGCGTATCAGGGCAGCCGAGCTGAGGAACGTGAGCAGTTGGTGGACCACGAGGGCACGCCGTGGAGCCCCCCCCCACGCCCTCGATCGGCCTCGACGTCGGCGGCGGTCAGCGTGCTGAACTCCCCAAAGGTGACGCCCTTCCAGCCGTCGCTGGCGAAGGGGCTGAGCGCCTCGAGGCTTCGGCTTGGGTTCGGGCGGACAATTGGCTTCGATGAGTGAGGGACGTGAGCCATGAGAACAAAACAAGAAACAACCACCAGAACTCCATAGAACTCCGTTACCACCCCACCCCACCCCGAGCTGGTGGCACTCCGTTCTGGGCGGTGGTTATTTCCTCTCTGGTGAATGAGCTTCCTGAAATTTTCAAGACCCTGGGCCCGCCTGGGCGTCCCTTTGGTGGCGCGCAGAAGGGGGGGGCGCGAAGGGGGAGGGCTTCTAAGAAAGCGAGGGTTTTTTCAGGAAGCAGCGGCCTTTTTGTAGAGGCGCCTCGGCGGTCCCAGGAAGGCTTCCTAGGGATGCCGGGGGGGGGGGCCGGTAATAACCCGGATGCCCTCTTAGAAGCTCCCCCGTCTTCTTAGTTTGCCGCCCCTCTCCCGCTACCGCCTTGCGCGCGCCGCCAAACGGAGCAGGGCGAGGTAAACCAACGCCAACTACAAATCGGCCTCCGGACCCCTCCCAGGGTGAAAACGCATCAACCTTCCGAGCTGCGTCCAGCCGCGATGCCCAAACCCGCCACGCCCCATCCCACGCCCCATCCCGCGTCCCCAGGTGGGATGACATCCACCCTGTGGGACCTCGAGGCCCACGGGACCCAGCGCGTCTTCGCAATCACCAGCACCGCCGCCAGCGCCCACAACTTCGCCGGCCCCTCACTCGGACGCCCCTCCCGACCCTTCCCCACCGACGGATGCGCTTCGCCGATGCCCTGGCCAGCGCCCACGCCCTCGACGACGACGATGCCCCCGCCCAAGCACCGCAGAACTTGGAGCCCAAAGTCCTCGCCCCCACCGACGGCAGGCCTATTCGGCGCGTGCGATTCGCCGACGGGCCATAGAGACTGCACCGGCCACCCACCCACGCAGGAATGGATGGCTACTGCGGGAAGGGAGCAGCTGCACCATGCAGCGACGACCCCACCCTAATACTCGGTCAACGCAGACTCCTCCTTCCCTTCCAACCCCCAGCCGCATGGGCAGCCGGCCCGTGGTACGGGCTGGGTCCATCCCTGGATCGCCACCATGACGCACCCATGCGAAAACTTCCCCACCCCACCTCATCCCGCCCTTCCCAACATGCACCCGACGACCTCCCCACGACAACACCAACCGCACTCCAAGGAACGACAAGAACCAGACCAACAACGAACATCTCCACCAGGTGAGGGGACGACAGCACCCACCTCGGCTCCGGCCGGAACCGGAGCCACAGCGGGGACTTCAAGCAGGTGCGGGAGGCCCTGGAGCGGCGATTCGAGGGGGGCGGGAGCAGGCAGGAGGAGCAGGCTGGCTGCGGGGGCATGGAGGGCAAGAGTGACCCTAGGCTTAAGTCGGGCCTGTCCCCCTACAGGGGGATTTTCGACGAAAAATAAAAAATATCCCCCTAACATAGTCAAAACATAATCCAAAAATAGTCGGGGCACTATTTTTGAGTTTGTTTTGACCTTTTTGGTGTATTTTTGGAGTATTTTCCATTTGTCGTCCAAAATCCCCCTGTGGGGGGGGCACGCCCGACCTAACCCTGGGCAAGAGTGACTTTCGGTGCGCGGACGTGGGGTGGCCACACCCAGGAACGCGCAGGCCTTCGGCTGCCGCTCCGCGCTTGGCGATCCTGGGGCACCGCTGGGCCCGCACCAGGCCCAGACCACCGACGCCATGATTTCTTCATTGCCGTCGACCCCTGGAGGTCTCGACCCATTCCCCCGGACCGGTTCTTCCTCCTGAGCTGTCTTCTGACGGTCTCGAGGGCCGGCAGGGGCCCCCAGAGGCCGAGAAAATAGCCAAAAAAAGAACCTCCCGCTCCTATTTTTTGTCATTGCCCGAGGGGGTCTGGGGAGTCACCCCGGCGAAAGCTCACTCCTGACGTCCGGTCGGAGGAGGCCGTGTGGTCTCCCCCGCCGAGCGGCCCAACCCCGTGGGGGTCGGCGCGCCGGCCCGCCACCTAAAACGCGCCGCTCTCGGAAGGGGCCCAGGGAGTCGGCGATGAGTTGTGCCTGTTGGTGCGCCCTCCTCCTCCCTCCTCCTCCCTCCTCCCTCCTCCTCCTCCTCCTCCTCCTCCTCCTCCTCCTCCTCCTCCTCCTCCTCCTCCTCCTCCTCCTCCTCCTCCTCCTCCTCCTCCGTATCCTCTTCCTCCTCCTCCTCCTCCTGGAGAGAGAACTCTGCACATGCAGCGATTCTGGTCAGGCCCATCCTGAGCCCAGGATCGGTGCATACGCCCTCTACCCTTGGCCAGGAGGGTATATATGCACCGATCCTGGGTCAGGGGTGGGCCTTGCCAGGATCGGTGCACGTGTGTAGTTCTCTTCGCCCGGTCTGTGTGTGTTTTGTTCCCTCCCGACTCTTCTCATTCGCGTCGCCCCTTCCCCCCCGCGCGTCGTCCCGATCGCTCACTTTTCTGATGGACTCCGCCCAGGATCATCCGAAGACGCCATCGAGGACGCGGAGAACACGATGGGTGAGACAGCCGCCGACGAAGAGAGATGAATGGACGTCCTCGTCAGCGTTCGCTCGCATTAGCGGGCCGAATTTCGTAACATGTTCAACTTGCCCGCTCACCGGCCCCACCAATGGCAGTAAGAGAGCCGTTTTTCGAATACCCCCCCCCCCTGCCGCACGGCAGCGAGGCGGCTCCGGCTTCGGGCCACAGACCAGGACAGCCTTTCAGCAGCAGCAGCGGCAGCAGCAGAAGGGAGGAGGGAGGCGGGAGGAGAGGGGAGGAAGAGAGGGAGGGAGGGAGAGAGGGAGGAGGGAGGGAGAGAGGGAGGGGGAGGAGGGAGGGGCAGGGGCGAGCGGCCTTGTCCACCTCGCCGATCGGGTCCCTCGCCGCTCCGCCCGCCTTCACAGGCAGCCTCGTGCCCTCCCCTGCGCCGCCGCCGTCCTTTCCAGAGGTCCGTCGTCTTGGTCGTTTCAGCACGGCTGGTTCCTGCCTTGACGACTTCGGCATTGATTTCTGACACCGCGTCCATCGTTGTTCCGCTTGACGCCCTTGTCCAAGCGGCCTGACCGATACGAACGTTAACAACACAACTCACCATAGTGCAACGCGTGCCAACTCTGCCATGAATACGCCTCTGTACGCCGCGTGCATCGTTAAACCATGAACGATCGGCGGTTTTTCGATCGCAGGATCGTTCCATATCTGAACATTTTCGTAGGGTGGAGGGCTCAGGGTGAAATCCACACGGGCTCTTGCACCTCGAAATTCAAGCCGTCTTGTGACTCACCTTTTGCAGATTCAAACCTCGAAGTCGAAACGGCCTCTCAGATTTCACCCTCTGCCCTCCACCCAAAGAAAATGCTCGGCATATGTGCTGGCTTTGGGCCACCATCGGCATTCAGCCTTGAACGCTCGCGGCGGGGTCGCAGCCGCGTCGACACGACATGAACCCTCCGCACTCGGAGGGGGGCCACTCAGGATAAGGGCGGCCCTCCCCTGCGTTTCGTTTTTGCCCGTCCGTTCTGTGCCTCCCGGAGGCTTCTCGTCACTGTGGCTGTATCCGCCTCGAGAAGCGTGTGGAGATAGACCCATGAGATGGGTTTTGGGACGGACTTTGAGGGGGTATGGGTCCGGCGGGAGACCCGCCGTTGTCTCAGCTGGCCCTCCTCCGGAAGACGAGGCCTCCAGTAGTCCCGACCCGTTTCCCAGGGCCGACTGGCGATCCCGAGTCGTCTTTCTGGCGGTCCCGAGGCACATTGACGGCCCCCGAAGGTGTGAAACGGCGACAGAGCCTCGGTACCCAAGACGTTGGACGTCTGGGTCCTTCGGGGCGCCGAAGAGGCCCATGCCCATGAAGGTGGGTGCGACTCCGATGACGCCGACGATCACGACCGTACCTACGAGGACCTGGGCCCACGCGGGCAGCCCATCTGCGGCATCCGCGGCCTCTGGCAAGTTGGGGGGGGAGGGGGCGGCGGCGAGGGAGGTGGGCGGGGAGGAGGGGGATGAGGAGCCTGGAGGACGAGGGGGTGGCGTGGTCGAGGGAGAGTAGGGGAGAAAGACGAGAGGGGTCGGGTAGAGGGAGGAGCAGGGGACTTGCCATCGCTCGGACGTCCAGTCCCCGCGCATCGTTTGGCTTCACGCGGGTTCTCTTTCTCACGGCGATCCAAGATGCTCCAAGATGGTTCGGGTTATCTGGCGCTGGCCTCGCCGGAGAAAGCTCACACGTGAAAGCGACGCCAAGGAGAGCGAGCAGAGCGAGACCAGCAGGAGGGGGGGTAAAGGCGAAGACACGACGAGCATGATCTCATAATCCGATTGGCCCAGGGTGCGTCCCAGGATGTCCACGAGGTCTCCAGCGGCTCTCGTTTTTCACTCGTGCGGAACCCCAGGGAGTCTTGGAGACCCGGGACATCCTGGGACGTGGCCTGATCATGCTCTCTCGCTCCTCTCAGAGGAAGAACGAGCAGCAGCAGCAGCAGCAGCAGCAGCAGCAGCAGCAGCAGCAGGAAGGGGCACGGCATTCGCAACTGGGGGGGCGCGGAGCCACACGCAGCCCAACGGCCCAAGCAGCAGCAGCAGCAGCAGCAGCAGCAGATTGCATCTGTTCCTCCCCTATGTTCACAGATGTTGTGCCACATATGTGCAGCTAGATATTGAGATCAAGTGTGAAGTCGACTCGCTATTTCTCGAGAGTCACTGGCCATAGGTTTCATGAAGTTGCTCTTGCTCGGATGTCGAGTTGCACAGGTCATATCAAATGCTATCCTCTGCCTGCCGCTTTCCTCGTTCCTCATTTTACTTTCGTTGACCCTTGGCTTGCTATATGGTCCAAGGCGCAACATGAGGGCGTAAATGCCGAACACGGTCCCAACGCCGTGACCGCCACCAGGACCGCCACGGAGAAGGAACATCGGGGGGAAGGGGGTGTATGGGATTCAGCCTCTTGCGTGCTCTCCTTGTCGTCCTCTTCTTCGTGCTTCCTTCGCAGTGGTTTCCAGCTTCCAGGCCAGCAGCACACCCCTTGTTTCCTCCTTTAAGGCAGAGGTGGTTAAAGCAAAGACATCGCGTTATCTATAGAACACTGTACTCACGAGGATGGTGGGGACCCAGCCAGAATGGGACCCTGCTAAGCGGCGAGCTTCTCTTGCTATACCATCCCTTCCACAAACCGGCTGGAGCGATACAATACAATCACTCAAAGCCAACGTGCTCATGGGGCACCTCGTTAAATACCTTGGGCTGCCAACACCTGGCAACCTGGAGACAACAAGTAAGAGGGTCACCATCCATGCCTTCTGATGGGCAGCGCGTGGCTTTCCAGAACACGATATATAGACAAATGTATATATATATATATAAATGGCAAGATACGTAATGCTAGATCTGTTCTGCCAGCCTGACTTGCCAAAGGACGCGCCAACAGATAGTGTGAGAATGTGCTCTGTTCACTTGGCACATTACAGGCTTTCTATGTTGTGCATACCCAGCGAAGTCCCAAGCCCTTCATTGAGGTTATGATACGAGCATGTAAGCCAGCACCACAAGCTACACTGCTCATGGACCAATTCCAGACACCCTTTTGGAAATCATATTTGGTACAACTACACCAGACGACCTGGGATCCGACACGCGAGAACGCACCACACGCCTGCCTATACCTGGCCAGGTCCACAGAGACTGGCTGCTGGTACACTGGCAAGGCGCAAGCACATCGGCACGTCAACAGGGTGCTGTGGATGGGGGTCGTGGCGCGATTTCGCGAGCACTACGGCGCATCACACAGGCAGAACGGCTCACAACTGCATCGGCCACGCTACAAGACATGGAGCAGCACTGCCCCATGGGCTTTATGCTGTATGTCAGTTGTTTCTGGAGGAAAAATAAAGTATTGCGACCCGAGACGCGTTGCATCGAATTTCTACGACCTCCCACACACACACACCAAGGCGTGATCAGATCAGAAAGCATGTGGCTCGACCATACCCACGCTTCAGGGAGAAGAGGTCGCCAATACAAGAATGTGCCCTCAATGTTCTCGTTGGACGACGGGCGAATACTGCACGTAGAGCTAGGTTCTTTGGTAAGCACACCACATTCAATGATTTGGTGCATGCATGCTGGGAAAGCTACAGGATTAGAAACGATTGAGTCCCCTCCCTCATGTACACACGTCAGCATGAATATTGGCTGGTCCTATACCTGGGCCAACAAGGCACGAGGTTGGACTATCGACGTATGTGGCGGCATGCAAAGTTACCCAGGTATTGTCTCTTGGTATGGCCCCTTGCATGTGAATTATCTCCTGAGCAGAAAAAACTGCCCAACCTAAAATCGAGAGGTTCATGCATACAGGGAATATCATTTCAAAGCGCTGCCACATCATACACATTTCCAAGCGCAGTACATATGCGTTGCAACATGTACGACATGCGGTGTACACTTAGTTACGCCAGGTGTGTTTGGATAACCCTCTTCTCGTCCAGTACTTGTGAGCACAGATTAGACTATGCAGCACAGCGGTCCCTAGGTTCAGTGACCCACTCACCATGCATAACATACTTGCCAACAAATGTTCAATTGCCCTTCACCAATAGATATGTGAGAACCCTGCCTTCGAAGGCTACCGTGAACACTACCTTGTCTGGAACGATACAGATTGGAGGGTCCCTGAATTGCCTGGCGTATCAGACACGTGGGAAGAACTGTATAGCCAGATGCGGTCACCTCATACATCAAATCAGTTCACCTCTCCTTTCCCTGAGAGTGTGCACATACGCCAGAGGTTTTGCTCAACACCAACTGTACCCTTCCCTCCCGTGCATATGAGCATGAGGCCCCACTTGCAGATGTGCGTACTCATATGTTCACATAGCTGCCTACCGTCGTGTGGGTTGGAGTGGGCAAAGACATGCACAGGAGGGCGGGGCTCAGTGGTAGTCATGCCTCTGGCTCCTTGGCAACACGTTTCTCCATGATCCAGAGCACGATCGTTTCAGACCAGAGATGAGCAGGAAACCCCTGGCGAATATCCAAAGGAAAAGAGATGCCCAGAATGTGCCGAAGAGATGGCGCAACCCCCGACAGGCTGAGCCAGATGACATCCCGAGTGCATACACTATAGTTAAAGGCAAGTGTTTCTCTCCATCTGATGGTTCTCACACGTGCACGAAACAACATGCGCATATCCGCGAGATTGCCAAAGGTGTCCGAGCTACCCAAAAAAAGTTCCCCAGCCGCGAGGGCTATACGTTCGGTTAAGAAGCTCCGTAAGGGCACCACGTGGACGATCTGGGCCCCCAACGAAGTACCTCGCCTTATTAGGACTAAGGTTGCGAGGCTTGAGTATACCCCATGTTTTGAGCACACATGTTGTAGATGCAAAGGCAATAGAAATGCGATTTCATTCAGTAAGGTTGACGCCTCACAATGTTTCAAGGATGCGAGCTATGAGCGGGGGGCCCAATGTACCTGTGACTTGCTTGATAGAACCACGGCCTCATGTGGAGCCACGGTTGTCGCGATTCAGCGTTATAGAAAAGCAGCAGGATACGTGGTCACCCCTGGAGGGAAGATTAGACCCATGTATGAATATTTTAGCATCACAGACATTCGCAAAGCTGTTAACTATGTCAAATATGATAAGTTCATTTATGTTGGTTCCTCCGTTCTTGAGCGTACGAGAGGATGGGCCATGGAAGCCCCATTGTCAGAGCCTGCCACACTTGCAGACCTCGGACATTGCATACACCAGTTGTATCATGATAGACGTTTCGCGGCCCAGGCTGGCCTGGCGTACAAGAGCATCCCCACGGGCGTTACCCAGGGCCTGTTGTATGTGGGTGATAGCCTCGCCATGTCCAGGATCCTGTGTAGCCGCTGCCTCTTTCGCTCGATCCGCCGCCTCTTCCCGCAGGACGTCGGAGTCACCCTGGAAGGTGATGTTCTCCCTCTCACCTTCCTCCAAATCCAGACTGTCCACAAGGAGAGAACCCAGGGTATTTCCCAAATCCAGATTCGTCCCCCAGAAGAGTTTGAGTTGCATGCTGTTGCCGCAAACCATGAGTATGCTCGAGGGGAGGCCACACGCCCGAAGTATGCAAAATTCCCTGCCTTTCACTCGCGCCCCATAGATACCCCACAATTGTTCTTCTTCTCGAGGCTCTGGGAACGGTATTACCTTCAATGCAATGTGCGAAGGTAATCCTAAGCGTGCCCGAACAGCTACGGTGGACATTATTGTTGAAGCTCTCTCCCTTGCATGGCCGTCAGACTCGTGGGCAAAGCTATGTGCTCGATCCCACGACGGCACACCTCGGCCTATATCACCACCCTACGACGCATGGGGAGGAAGCTCTGTCACAGCTCGGAAGATATCCTGGCGAATCCTGTGGAAACTGAGGCTTGGATACGCATGCTATCTGACGGGCTGTCAATCCTGCATGCTTCACTCTTCCACGGTTCCCCTCTCCGCAACCGTGCTTGGCTCAAACATTCCGGACACGGCTACAACCCCCAGCCCACCCGTGCTGCAGTTGCACCGGCGCGACTGGGGACACTTAGCGAGGACAGCCAAATTTACTACGGCAAGGGCCGTGGACGCCAGAGTGGGAGAAATCAACAGAGCGGACATGGTGGATAAGATCGTGAGCAGAACCACGGACATGGTAAGGGACAAGGGCTATCATCATCATGGCAGACACCACCGCAGCATGGACACACACCCCGAGCTGCATGGACACATGCTGGACTTGATGCAGCTGAGGAGATGAGCCAGATCTTCTGGGCACGCGAGGAGAAGAAGCAGCAGAAGGAGGCCAAGAAGACGTACCGCCAGGTGGTGATGGACACAGTCGCTGAGCTGCTCGGCATGAAGGACACGGTGGACAAAGGCAAGCACAAGACGAAGAAGAAGGAGAAGAACAGACCGTTCAGCTTTCTCCAGACGGCGGGCAGGAGGATCCTGAGGCCCACGCTCTCAGATTCCTCGTCGGCGAGTGGCACGAGCAAGGCGAGCAGCAGCCGCAGCAGCAAGTACGGCGGCAACCTGAACATCAACAGGATCAAGAAGCACTTCCTCAAGAAGAAGAAGCAGGACAAGAAGAAGCCGCAGAGCAAGACCAAGCAGGCGATCCGGATGCTACGAGGTATGATGAAAGCCTCTGGCAATGACGATATGTATTACGATGCGAGTAATGAAGATGATGATTGCTTCGAGCAGCTATGCGGCAGCGGCAACAAGTTGACTGACCAGAAGCGCGTGGTGGTGAAGCTCCTGAAGTCATGGAACAAACATCCTGAGAAGGTAAGCATCGAGGCACTACGGGAGGTATGGCGCCAGATGCCGACAGACCAGGGCATGGAGATCATCAACGAGATGCGCATGCTCGCGAAGAACATCATGGACAATGAGACGAAGACCTCAAGTGCCACAGGCCCCGCCTGCGGAGCTCCCAGGACCACGGTCATCATGCCAGATGAAGCTCCAGAGGTCGAGGAGGTCAAGAACACTGTGCACCCTGAGATCCTCAAGACGGCGAAGAAGATGCTCCCGAACACAGACATGTCTAGCTGGCCAGTGGGTCGAGGCCTTTGTCAGTGAGACAGATGTCACCCAAGCCAAGCTGAACACGATCCATGAGAAAAAACAGCTGCCGACCACAACGGGACGTGACAAGAAATCAAAGGCGCTTCAGATCATTGAGAAGCTTCGCAATGAGTAGTTATCATGACAATGGACCGAATAATAGCCAGATTCCTGCGCAGACGACTGCGCCGTATAGCACGCCTGGTAGTCATTGCCTGGCTCCCAGTTGCAGCGTGCACAGATTTCTTCGCACATATATATATATATATATATATATACTTCCGTTCTTCCCAGAGTGCATGGTCAGCCCGATGGCGCTTCTGGCTAGCCACACGCTTCTTTCTGCTGCTGCCCTTCTTTACAGGGCGGGCGCAGCAGCAGCAGCAGCAGATTGCATCTGCGCCTACCCTATTTTCACAGATGTTGTGCCCACATATGTGCAGCTAGATATTGAGATCAAGTATGAAGTAGGCTCGTTAATTCTCGAGAGCATGATATCACTTGCCATAGGTTTCATCAATTTGCTCTTGTTCGGATGTCGAGTTGCACAAGTCATAGCATATACTATCCTCTGCCTGCCGCTTTCCTCGTTCCTCATTTTACTTTCGTTGACCTTTGGCTTGCTATAGGGTCCACGGCGCAGCATGAGGACGTCAATGCCGAACACGGTCACAACGCCGTGACCGCCACCAGGACCGCCGCGGAGAAGGAGCATCGGGGGGAAGGGGGTATATGGGATTCAGCCTCTTGCGTGCTCTCCTTGTCTTCCTCTTCTTCCTGCTTCCTTCGCAGTGGTTTCCAGCTACCAGACCAGCAGCAGCAGCAGCAGAAGCAGGGGATAGCGAGGAACGCAGAAGAAGGAGTCAGCCACGCGCGGAGGGAGGGCACCTCCACCTCCTCCTCCTCCTCCTCCTCCTCCTCGTCCTCCTCCTCCCCCCCTCCTCCTCCTCCCTCCTCCTCCTCCTCCTCCGCCTCGTCCTCCTCCTCCACCTCCTCCTCCTCCACCTCCTCCTCCTTCTCATCCACCTCCTCCTCCTCCACCTCCTCCTCCTCTTCCTCCTCCTCCTTCTCCTCCCCCTCCTCCAATCTATTGGGGAGGGAAGAAGGCTTCTTAGAAGCGCCCCTGCTTCGCAGAACCCGCGGGCCTTGTCGGTGGATGTGGGGCCAGCGTCTTCGCCTTCTCAGAGCCGGCCTCCTTCTTAGAAGCCTCCCCCCCCCGTCTGCCCCCCGTGTGCGCGACGCAAGAGGAGGACGAGGGCGCATCCATCGCCGCCTGTTCGGCCTCGGGCGCGGCCGCCGCCGCCGTGAGCTGGGCGTAGCTGGAGAGGGACGGCGACGCCGCCGACTCCGCGTGGGCTGGCAGGTCCACGGCCGCAGCCAGGGCGGCCGCGAGGGTGCGGGGCGCGGTCCCGGGCGCGGGGCGCGGCAGGAAGGCGAGCTGGTGCGCCAGCGCCGCCTGAGGACAGGTGGGTTGCGCTCGCGCCGAAGGGGGGTGGAGGAGGAAGGAGGGGGGAGGGGGGGTGAAAGCACGACTGGGGGGAGTACGAGTGGGAGTCAAGCTAGCCAGCTCGAGCGAGTCAAGCGTGGCATGCCCATTCCCACCCGCCCTCCCACAAGATAAGAAACAGTGCTGGCGCAACTGGGGACCGAAATCAAATCGGCAAGGTGGTTTGCAACAGCTGATGCAGCCGCGATGGCGGTTACCGATGGGAAATTCTTGGCGCGTCTCAAAGGCTGCGCTGGCATGTCAGCACGAGCCGAGGATACCCCAGGAGGCCCCAGGAGGCCCCATGAGGCCTCAGGGGGGCCGAGGAGGTTACAGGAAACCCCAGCGAACCCAAAGAGGCCCCAGGAGGCTTCAGGAGGGCCCAGAAGCCCCAGGAGGTTCCAGGAAACTTCAGGAAGCCCTAGGAGGTGTCAGGAAGCCCCTGGGAGTTTCAGCAAGCCCCAGGAGGCCTCGGGAGGCCCCAGGAGGCCCTGGGGAGGCCTCGGGAAGCCCCAGGATATTCCGGGAGACCCTGGCAGGCCCCAGGGGGCACCAGGCGCTGGACGAATTGGCGTGTGAAAGTGTGCGCCGCGCCGTAGCGGGAACGCAATTTTCAGAAACAACATGCGCGCGGCGCCGAAGCGAGAGCGACATTGCGCCATGTCGTGCGCGATGTGCGCCGCGCCCCCGTCCTGCCACGCGTTTCGCAAAGCCGACGACAAGAAAGTCCTCGCTGAGAAGAAACACGTCGACGTTGTATTTCCTCACGTCCTAAGTGGGGTTCCTGTTTTCTCTGCACACCCTCCGCGCAGGATCTCTCCTCCTCCTCCTCCTCCTCCTCCTCCATCTCTCTCTCTCTCTCTCTCTCTCTCTCTCTCCCTCACTCTCCCTCATGATCATCATCATCATCATCACCACCACCATCATCATCATCATCATCACCATCATCGCAATTATCACCACTCATCATTATCATCACCATCGCTCACCCACCCACCCACCCACTCACTCACTCGTTCACTCGCTCATTCGCTCATCACCGTTACTCGCTTATGTCACCCGAGGAAGTCTCAGGCGGGAGCCCACTCCTTATGGGTCCCGCACCTCATGTTGGTAATCCGAACGGGTCATCGGCAACCCGTGACTGTCGCCACTTTTGGGCTCTTCTGGACTGATTTTGAAAGAATTGTCAAGCGGGAACTTCGTATGTGAGTGAATTGTGAGGGAGCCTCAGGCCCCCTCCTTATGGGTCCCGCACTTGACGTTGGTAGTCCGAGCGGGTCATCGGCAACCTGTACCTGTCATCACGCTTGGGCTCCCCAGGCCTGAATTTTGGGAAAGTGTCAAGCGGGAGCCTCGTCTGTGAGTGAATTGTGAGGAAGTCTCAAGCGGTACTTCCTTCTTTTATGGGTCCCGCACTCCATGCTTGCTATCCGAACGGGTCATCGGCAACCTGTAACTGTCGCCACTTTTGGGTTCCTCAGGCCTGAACTTGGAGGAAGTGTCAACCGGGAGCCTCGTCTGTGAGTGAATCGTGAGGAGGTCTCAGGCGGGAGACCCCCCCTAATGGGTCCCGCACTTCATGTTGGTAATCCGAGCGGGCCATCGGCAACATGTAAGTGTCGCCATTTTGGGCTCCTCAGGCCTGAATTTGGAGGAAGTGTCAAGCGGGAGCCCCGTCTGTGAGTGAATTGTGAGGAAGTCACAGGCGGGAAACCCTTCCGTATGGGTCCCGCACCTCATGTTGGTAATCCGAGCGGGTCATCGGCAACCTGTAACTGTCCTCACTTTTGGGCTCTCCAGGCTTGAACTTGGAGGAAGTATCAAGCGGGGGCCTCGTCTGTGAGTGAAACGTGAGGAAGTCTCAGGCGGGAACCCCATGTCTATGGGTCCCCCACTTCATGTTGGTAATCCGAACGGGTCAGCGGCAACCTGTAATTACGGCGGCGGAAGGACCCCACATGATAATCTGTTTAGCCTGCACTTACCCTTTCGTCCTCGCCCTGACGGACACCCTCCTCTCGCCCGCCGTTTGGCCCTCACCTACCCCCCCCCTCCTTCTAGTGTTCCTCCTCCTCCTCCTCCTCCTCCTCCTCCTCCTCCTTCTCCACTTGCGAGCAGGAGATCACGTGGCAGGGCTCGGGGTCGCACGCCGTGCGCCGCTCGGGGCTCACTTTGGCTCACGCGTCCTATATCACTTCCACGCTATCGCAGGGCCAGACGCCCCGCAAGGGCGTCACCATCGACTGCGCGAGGGACGAGGACGCTGGCCGCACGGGCACGTCGGACGACCAGTGGTGGCTGCACCTTTACGTCATGCTCTCCCGCGCCACGCGCATGCAGAACATGCTGGTCCTGCGGCCGCCCTCGAGCGAGTTTCTGCAGCGCGGGCCGCCGGCTTTCTTGCGGAAGGCGCTCCTGGAGTCCGACAAGAGAGCGAAGTCGTCCAGGGATGAGGCCGAGCAGCTCGCCGCAGAGCTTGGGTTCATGCTGCCTCCCGCCTGACGGCGGCCGCGCCCCGCTCGAAGCCCGCGGAGTTGTCCCAACGGCTTGGCCCGCGGGGCTGTCCCGACACCTTGCCCCCGCGCCCCAGCGGCCCGTGGGGTTGTCCCAAAGGCTTCGCGAACCAGCCGTCGGGGAATGCGCGCGCTCTGGCCGCGGCGGCGACGGCGCCTAGGAAAATCGATGTGCTTGCCCCGTTCAAGGGGAAGGGGAGGAGCGCGCGGAGAAGAAGCAGGGGAAGGACGAGGACGGGGAAGGGGTAGGATCAGGGCGAGGAGGAAAAGGGTAAGGGCAAGCTACACAGATTCTCATGTGGGGTCCTTCCGTCGGAGTAATTGTTTTTGACAAGTAGGATGGCCCCTCCCGCTCGGGATTGCCCCAGACGTCCGCGCGCGATGTGCGCCGCGTCCAGCTCCTGCCACGCATTTCGCATCGTCAACGACAACACAGGTCAAGTTGAGAGGAAACACAAACACTGTGAATTGATTTGTTGAGGTCAAGATGTGCCCCCCCCCCCCCCCCAGGATGGGGTTGCTATCAGCCGGGCAGAGGGAGGAGTAATAGCCGAATCGAATAAGGAAGACGGATATGAGTAGGAGTAGGATTGGGAGTAAGAGTCGGAGTAGGAGTAGGAGGAAGAGATTGCGGAGGAGGCGGAGGAGGACGAAGAACGCTAAACGTAAACAAGAAGGAGGAAGAGGCGAAGAAGGAGGAGGAGGAGGAGGAGGAGGGGGAATAGGAGGGAGGGGAAGGGGGGAAGAGGAGGGGGACGGAAGGACGACTAGGTGGAGGAGGATGAGGAGGTGGAAGAGGAGGGGAAAAGGGGGGGACGACTTAGAATGACGACGAGGAGGGGAAGGAGGCCTCAGAGAGGCAGGGGGCAAGGTCTTCGGGTGTGCCAGCACGATCGGTAGACTCGCGAGGGCGGGGGTGAGGCAAGAACACCATTCCCTCCCAACCAGCGGGGCGCGGTGTCATTCTCCTCTGGCCCTCATCCCACGCGTCCTCCAGCTACTGGTCTCCCACGCAGAAGACACGCCACCACCACCATGCCTGGCCAGGGCCATCCTGGGCCCTGGCCCGATGTGCATACGATATCATGGCCGAGGACCCAGATTGTGCACGAATGCCTTCTGCGACTGCTACTCCCCCGCGCTGGTCTACTTCGTGGCGAAACCACAGCCCCCCAACGAGACCACGGCGCAACCCCCACCCTCTCCCACACGCCCTCCTGCACCGCTTTCTCCTCCTCCTCCTCCCTCTCCTCCTCCTCCCACTCCTCCTCCGCTCCATCCTCTCCACCCCTCCTCAGTACGTAGACCAACTACCCTGGGTGTAAATATGCTGCCACGCCCCCCTGTGGTGGGTTCTCGTTTTGTCAAGGACGCTGCTCGCGCGGATTCTTCCTTCCTCCCGCCTCCTCCATCCTCGTGCCACTTACCTCCTACCTGCGTCTGTCCGACCACCCAGACTAGACCTCACGGCTGCCAACTTCCCGCGGGGCTGCGAGCTGCGCAACTGGCGCCACGTTCGTGGGCTCCTGTGAGGCACGGCGGAGTGACGTTATGCGCACCCCCTCCCCATGGGGGCTGCGAGCTGTGAAACTGTCGCCACGTTCGGAGGTTTCTGGAAGGCCCAGCGGAGTGACGCCAGGCGCACCCTCTCCCGTGGGGGCTGCGAGCTGCGGAACTGCCGCCACGTTCGGAGGTTTCTGGGAGGTTCCAGCGGGATGAGATCATACGCGGACCAGGATGAGACCTCGCCATCCTTGGGGGCTGCGAACTACGAAAATATGCCGCCACGGTCGGGAGGCCCTGGACGCCAAGCGGAAAAACTCACACGCGGGTCAAACTGTGACCACGGCCTGCCAACTGCGAAACGATTGCCACTCCCGTGGGCTCCTGAGAGGCCCAGCAGAGTGACGTTAGACGCGGATCAGAATTGAGTCTCCCCCCCTTGGGGGGCCGCGAACTGCGTAGCCCCTGCCACTTTTTACTCTCCTGCGAGGCCCTAGGGAGTGACGCTATACGCGGATCAGAATGAGACATCGCTCTCCTTGGGGGCTGCGAGCTGCGAAGCTGTCTCCACTCGCGTGGGCTCCTGGAAGGCCCTTAGGAGTAGTGTGACGCGCGGATCAAAATGCAACTTCGCTGGCCTTGGGGGGGGGGGGGGGGCGCGAACCGCGCACCCGTCGCCAGTATCGTGGGGTCCTGGGAGGTCCAGCGGAGTGACGTCCTGTGGGGACCCAAGACGAGTCCTTGCCCTCCCCGCGAAGCTGCGAATGACACAACCGACGCTCGTGCTCGCGGGCTCTGGCCATGTCCAGCGCAGCAGCAAGCTCGTGCGAGTTGTCTGGGTGAGGGAAACGCAGCGACGCGCAGCTCAGGCGTAGCGCACGGCGCTAGCACTTGTAACGAATAGGTTACCCCCCGCCCTCATATTCCTCACCTCCCTCTGTCCCCCAGAGCCCTGTTATTTGACACGCTCGTTGTTGCCATCCCTGGGCCGATCTGAGTTGCGAGAGAGCGTGCGTGTATGGGAGCGGCGCGTGGCTCGACGTGGCTTGGCGAAGCGTGGAAGGGTGCTGCATCGATGTGTAAGTAGACATGCTATTCATGCTTGTGTCTCCGAGAAAGTCGCGCTCAGAACAAATTACTCCGACGGAAGGAACCCACATGAGAATCCTCTGGGCGAATCTGGAAAAACCCTCACCGTCGTCCTCGTGGTTGATGAGGCGTCCTGGCTGTCTCTTCTGCGTATATGTCTTCTCGCCCTGGCGCGGGCCCTCCCCCCGCTACGTTGCCCCCGACCTCGCCCTCCTGTTTTGGCTCCGGACATTCAGAAAGTTGCCCGGGAGTGATGTTCTGGGAACACGAAGAACACGAAGTGGCCTACAGTTGGCCCCGGGCACTTAAAATGTGGCCCAGGAATGGTGTTCTGGGAGCACGAAGAACACGAAGTGGCCTACAGTTCGCTCCGGGCATTCAAGATGTGGCCTGGGAATGGCGTTCTGGCAGCGCGAGAGCCCAAAAGTGGCGACAGTTATAAGAATTAGATGACCCGCTCGGATTAGTAACATGATCCCCGGGCCCCATAAGGAGGGGGCTCCCACTTGAGACTTCCTCGCAATTCACTCACAAAGTGGCCTGGGAATGGCGTTCTGGCAGCGCGATAGACCAAAAGTGGCGACAGATAAAAGAATTGGATGACCCGCTCGGATTAATAAAAAGATCCGCGGGCCCCATAGGGAGGGGGCTCCCGCTGGAGACTTCCTCGCAATTCACTCACAGATGTGGCCTGGGAATGGCGTTCTGGCAGCGCGAGAGCCCAAAAATGGCGACAGTTAAAAGAATTGGATGACCCGCTCGGATTAGTAACATAATCCGCGGGCCCCATAGGGAGGGGGATCCCGCCTGAGACTTCCTCATAATTCACTCACAGACGAGGCCCAATGCGAGTGAGTGAGTGAGTGAGTGAGTGAGTGAGTGAGTGAGTGAGTGAGTGAGTGAGTAATGATGGTGATGATGATGATGATGATGATGATGATGATGATGATGATGATGATCATCACACTCTCTCACGCGCACACTCATCATCATCAGATGTGAGTGCTGATGAGTCAGTGAGTAAGTGAGTGAGTGAGTGAGTGAGTGAGTGAGTGAGTGAGTGTGTGAGGGATGATGAGTGAGTGAGTGAGGGAGGAATGAGTGATGATGATGATGGTGGGTTCCTGTTGCTGCGCGGGGTGTCCAGAGAAAACAAGAACCCCACTTTGGATGTGGAAAATAAACTTTACTAGAGGGTCCTCTGCGCGATGTGGCGAGCCTTTCTCTCGTGCGACATCCTCAGAACTCCGAACATCGGACGCACCCCATCACGCAGATCTTGGCGTCAGGGTCCAACGTCATAACGGTGGACGATCAGTAGTCCAATGCGAAACTCTCAAACACACTATGGCTTCAAAGGGTTGAGGATGCCGATCTTCGAACAATGCATTCTCGCAGTCCGACGTCTAAAAATTGACCTCGTTTTCTCCAATACGGCGATTTCGCCTGAACCTACCTCCCGCAATTGACCTCTGAGAATACGTTAAATTGCATCCGCACGGCGTGACACCGCCTCATGCGCCACACTCGTCGCACAGTGCGGCACCCACACCAGCATTCGACGGCGATCCCGCTAGTGTAACTCATTCCCAGCAGCAATCTGGTGATCCTCAGTATCCGCCTTCTCCCCGTTTTCCTCTGCTTCTCCATCCCCTGATTCCCTACACTCCCTCTCGGATCTGACTTCGTATTCTCTTCTTGTCCACCTTCTGCAGTGCTTACGTGCGGCAATTCTTGGCGTGTGAGCCTGGGCACGCAAGTGCCCAATGTATAGCTCGCCTGAGGGGCCGTGTCGGGGTGATCGGGTCTTTGGTTTGGGAGACCACGCATTGGTGGCTAAAGTCGCACTGAGGCTTGGACACGGTCAGGGCAAGGTCAGAATTTGACCTCCCGGGAATTGCATCCGAATATCCACACTGGCGTGGCCCCGGCCCCGCTGGCCGCCTTGCCCACCCAGGCGGGGACATATGCCTGGTCGTTCGGGTTTCCTGGGGCCCAGCCCCACCTGGCAGGGCGGGCTGGTGGGGCCAGAGGGCTGGTGGGGCTGAGACACCATGGTCCCGCGGCAGGGGAGCCCAGAATCGAATCGATCAGTCGGATCGGCGATCGAAATCAATCGGATCGGCGGAGATCGGCAGCAAGTCGCGCACCTGCAGGCAAGTAAGGCCTCCGTTGGGAAGGCGGAATCGAATCGGAACCGATCGAAATCGAATCGGCTCGAGTCGCAGGAGGCAAACGGAGTCCTGCGCTGGGATGGGGACAGGCTGGACGATGCTGGGCTCGAGGCCTTCCGGGGCGGCCGACGTTCGACCGCCCCGCGGGGGGCCCTTTTCGGGCCCTACAGGCCCCGCGCTCGAGGGCCCCGCTGGGGCCCCAGAGGGCCCCTCGGGAGGCCCTCGAGGGCCTCTCTTCTGCACCCCTCGCTGCCCCCCGACGTGTCGCCCCCAAACCCTCGTGCTGCAAGGGGAGAGGAGGGACGCTCCACAGCGCGCCGGGCCGCGGCCCCGCCAGGAAGGGAGCGGCGGCGCCGTGGCGCCGAGAGTTCGAGACTGCATTGCGGAAGAGGTCAGCAGCTCGGTGCAAGCGTGAAGCAAGATGGAGGGGGGAGGAGCGCCACCGAGGTTGGGCGCCCGAGTTATCCGGGGTAACTCGGGTCCGGGGTAACGCGGGTCTGGATTCCCGAAAAAACGAACCCGAGTTAGCCCTGACCCGAGTTACCCCTGATGATTTGGGGCTCTGGACGCCCGAGTTATCCGGAGTAACTCGGGCCCTGGGTAACTCGGGTTCGGAATCCCGAAAAGCGAACCCGAGTTAGCCCTGACCCGAGTTAACCATGATGATTCGGGGCTCTGACAAGGGGCGACGACGACGAGGAAGCAGGGGGGGGCCACCGCCAGCGCGGCCGCGGCCGCCGCGGGGGCGCGGCGGCGGGTGCGGCCGCGCTGCGGCACGCCAGGACGCTCGCCGCCGCCAGAGCGCCACCACCGCATCGGCGCGTATGGCGCGGGAGGGTCGGGGGGAACGAAAGGGGGGGGGATAGCAAAGGGCAGGGTAGAGAATCAGCTCACGCAGCTGATTTTCCCAGCGCCTCCCGGCGCCGGGAGGCGCCCATGTATCGAGGAACGGGCCCTGCGGCGGGGCCGAAACCTGCTGCATGCAGCAGATGTCGTAACCCCCGCTTTCCCTATCCCCCCCTTTCGTTCGGCCCGAGGAGGGGGTGGGCAAGGATCAGGGGGGGCTGGCCCAGGGTGGGAAGCGTCGACCCAGTCGGGGATGGACGGACCCCCCTGTAGTAAAACGTGGTTTGGTGAAACCGACCTCGGGCCCAAACCTGGCGGGCGCAAGCCTGGAAAATGATGGCCGCGGCGCCCTCTCGAGAATCGAAAACAAACAATTCACTAATCGACGTGTCAGAATAGGGGTTCTGTCCACCCCCGACCTGGAATCCGCGATGCATCGCCGATACGCCGGCGATAGGGCCCCGATGGCGAATCCACATGTTCCTGGGCGGGGTGGGGCTAGCAGACCCCAAGCGGCGATCAATGGCCGATTGTAGGTCGATGCGTTTCCGCCTGAGCCTATCCCTTCCTATCGGTGCCCCTGAGGGAGTGGAGGGGAAGGGCAGCGGAGCGAGGCTGCGGACTGAGGGCGAAAAGGGCTTGCCCAGCAAAAGAACTACCAACACAAAGGGGCCAACGAGCGAGCGAGGGCCAAACTCCCCTCTGCTCTCTGTGATCTCTGCGACGTCCTGCTGCCTCCCCTCTCCATGGGTCCATGACCATATAGACAGCTCCTCCCTGTCGAACTCCCCAGGCGTGTCGGAAGGGCGGGCTGGGCGCTTCGCCTGAGATTTCCTCACCGCTTACGGCTTGCAATTTGGCATTCGCGCTGGTTGCACAGATTGGGGGGTCGGTTCTCTTCGAAATGGAGCTATCGCCTCACCGTCGCGCACATTAATCTTAACAGCTTGCAGCATATCTCAGGGTGGAGCACAGGCACCGTGCTCAAAATGGAAGTCTCGCCCAGGCGCCACGCACATTCGTCGGAACAGTGTGTGACAGTGACAAGAATGGAACACAACTCGTTTTCAACATCTAATTCTCGCAATAGTGCCTCGCATGTTCGTCTTAAACGCTTGCAGCAGCTACACCGATGGAGGGCGGGTCCTTTTCAAAAGGGGCCTCTCGTCTCAAACTCCGATACGGTCTGAGAGGCACTCGCCTGAGCGACGATCAAAAACTGGTCGTATGCAAAATGGCAAAGCGACTCAGTCGGTGGCTTACGCGGGCCGCCGACACGCCACAGTGGAAACGAGGGCGCTCACACGCGGCCTTGCAAGGGCAGCTTACGCGCCAAGGTCGGCTCAGACGACACCGACTCTGTTTCCTTGCCCATTTGAGATCGGCTGCAAGCCCGGGGGGGGGAAGTGAGAAAGAGGCAGGCCTCTTCCGAAGGCTCAGAAGTCCCCAGTCCCCGGAGACGCAGCAAACCTCTCAGAGGGCGCGAGGGCTTCCGAGAAATCCCGCCGCCTTCTGAGAAGGCCTTCTCCTTCCCATTACGCAGCCCACCCTCGCTTGCCGCCGACGAGGCTTCCACGAAGCTCATGCAGAGGAGGGCAGGCTTGCGCAACCAACGGTTGCACGCTTTTTTTTTTGGGGGGGGGGGGGCAGCCCTTTCTCGAGGCTGGGGTCTCGCGGAGCACGCCCCGAACGGCTGTGTGCTCACGGCTGCTCGCCGCTCCGACCGAGCGCTGGGAGGATGCGCGGCGGCTCCTTCTTTTTCAGCACGGGGCTCTCGCCGAAGTGACAAGCCCAGACTGTCAAAACGTGCAGCGAGGACGAGTGGTAGGGACGCAAGACCCGTGGAGGCCGAAACTGGTATTTGGTTGGGCGGCGAGCGACCAGTGCAGTGGAAAAAGGACGGGCCGCAGAGGCAAGGACCAAAGGGCAGCCTGGATGAAGGCGCGCGTCCTTACGAACGCGCGTTGACTGTAATGTACTGGTATTTCAATGGGGCCTTTCGTGCAAAAACTTGGAATCCATGTGGGTTTCTGCGGAGAGGGCTCGGGACGGGATGGTGGATTGCAGCATCGCTGATGCGTATTGAGTCTACTCTGGTTTTGCTCCTCTTCGTGCTCCTCTTCCTCTGCCTATTCTCCCTGCTCTGCCTGCTCCTCCGTTTCCTCCTCCATGGCCTCCTCCTTTTTCTGTAGCTATCTCGTCCTCCTCCCCCTCCTCCGAACCCTCCTCCAGCGCAGCGGCCTGGGTCGACAAACCACATTGAACGTCCGCACCACCTGTGCCCCCCCCTGTCGTGCTTACCCTCCCCTCCCCCTCCTGCGGCGTCTGCTGCAGTTTCGCATCACCGTCCTCGCATTCCCGTGTCCCTCTCCCTCCTCACTTCCCTGCCGCAAGTCGCTCTCGTCCCTATTCCTCCAGCGCCCGCCTTCCGCCGTGCAGTCTGCTGGGCACTCTTCCCCCCTTCCAGCAGAGTCAAGGTCCTGGCCGCCAGAGAGGTGCGGACGCCTCAAGCAAAAACCCAACGATGGAAAAGGAGCCGCCCCCCACCCGTGTAACAGGGGCACAATTCGGAACGTCGGGTCATCACATGTGCTGATGTCCGAAGCGTAGGTACCACAAGCTGGTGACGAACCTGGCTCCGCCATTGCACATATTAAAAACGTCTGGAACGACTGTGCGCCACCACCGCCACTACAGAGCCAAGCATCCTGAAGGACGCGTGGGCAAAAGAGTGCGCGATTGGCACCACCTCGGGAAAACATGTCGATGCAGAAAAATGCGTGCACCCAGAGCATCAATTGCGAAGCAGCTAAACAAGAGGATGGAGGAGGGAGGAAGAGCGGGGGTGGAAAAGGAACAGAGGGCGGCGGAATGGCAGACCTGCAGTCGCTCTACACGGCCATCACGGGTGCTGGGTCAATGCGTGCACTTCTTGAGCCCATTGCTGTCTGGGTCGCCCGAGCCGTCTACGCCTCACCCGAATCTTAAGGGTGCCGTCCGGCTGACATGCGACTTGCTTGACCAAGGAATTTGCCCCTCCTGAGGCGATCCTGCGCTACAGGCGCATCTGCCTATCGAGCAGCAGCTGGGGTAAAGGTTCGGCGGCCGCCTGCTTCAGAACGTCCGCGTTGGTAGCCCGCGATATGTGCGAATGCTGTATACCAAGAAGCCTCCGTAGACACCGGCAGTGAAAAAAACATCCTGTGTGTTTCTGTCGGCGGACAGGAGCCAAATATAATCAAGAGAATGCAGCAACTTGCCCAACACGCAGCTCTCGTACACCTTGTACTTCTGCTTGCACCCAACTCATGTATGAAACCAGATCTTCGCTAAGTGCTTGAATATGTTCTGTGCTCCGCCCAATCTTCTTGTCAGCTCGGGGCTCGCTCTTGCATCGCGCGTGATCATCCCTCCAGAGCAAACCAAACCGCTTCCAGGACTGTTGCAAGTGCTTTGCGCCCAACGTTACAATTCGTGCAAACGTGCATCTGTGAAGTTGTGTTCCGTTTAAGTTCATGACCGCACTGCCGCCCCTCCGTGACAATGGCGTTGATCATGCGCTGCATGTTCTTCTTTATCTGTAAGATCAACAACGAGTCGTCTGCATGCAATGCGTCGCGAGTGACCGCGCAGGCGGGCTCAGGTTCGAAATCGACGGAGGCCATGACGTCGAACGGCACGACAGCCTGGACCGCGATCAACAAAGAAGAAGAAATAGGACACCCTTGAGGCATGCCTGCTTGTTGCTGCCGTTCAATGGACTTGCCCGCGTGGTCGACAATGTGAAATACCGGGCTCTGTAAATTGCATCAACCACGGGCGCCGCATCTGCGGGCATGCCGACGCGCCGCAACGCGTCGCTTATGCCGTCTGGCTTGAGTCTGTCAAATGCTGTCGCCCAGCCCAGCACAACCAGAAGAATACCATCGTTCTTATTCGCGAGCGAGGAGTCGATCATGCGCCCAACGATCATGAGTGCATCTGCAATCCCACGCCCTGGGCGAAACCCAATTGGGAGTCGCGCGCGAGGGTTTCAGCGCCGCCAGAAAACAGACTGATGGAGCGTGGGGGCCAATCTGTTGCATCCCCATCTTTATATTTATATATAGATACACACATATACATATTAAAATATTGGTGGCTAAAACTTTCTGGAAATACGATGTCTCCTGTCTTGCGCAACAATCTGACATTCGCCCGCCCCCAAGATGAAAGCGTTGATTTCTGCCCCCAACACATCTGACACAAGCGAAGAAGCAGTGCGCGGGCAGCCAGATCAGAATCCACGCGCTTCCAAAAATCAAACGGCACGCCGTCAGGACCTGCAGATTTCCAAATTCGACCCCCCCTTGAACAGAAGACACTTCATGCATGCTGAACGTGTCCACGTTGACCGACAGCGCGACGCCAATGGGCGCGCGCGGCTGCAGTGCCTCATCCAGGAAGCGGGTTTGCCACTGCACATGTTCGAACTCATCGGCGAGGATGTTCGCGCGCCCAACCGTGTCCGCGAGGGCCCCATCAGGGCGCTTGATTGTGGCGTGCTGCACCGTCTGGGGTCTTCTGAGATGTCGCGCCGCTTCCCATCCCCCGTCTTGCACAAGCAGTTCAACCCATTCATTATTATCTTTCGCACTTGGTTCCTGGACCAGCGCGTGCAGCTGTTTTCTTCTGCGTGACCATTGTGCGAGCGAGCCACTTTGCGCTGCTCGATAAGATCGAGCGCGCGTGAACATGTCCAAGGCTGTCCGGCTACAACGGCCCGCTTGGGTAGTGCCTCGGCGGCGTTTTCGAAACCGCATTGAACCCAGCTGTCTGCCGCCTCCAAAGAAACGCCTGCGTCTTCCAAGGAGTTCCCAACAGCGCCAGCAAGTTTCGCAATCTAAGCATTCAGCACACCTAGAATTCTCAAACTGGCCATGTCTATGACAGCCTTCTGCGGCGGGCCCCCCGCGTCAAATTCCAACTGCGGTTCTATCACTGTCGGGCAATCGTGGCCACAAAGAACAACTTCACAACTCGGCCTTTTATCGTTGAGCGCGTGCTGGACAGTCCGGCGGCGCGACGCATGGTCGATTTGAGCGAATTTACCCCCGGCGATGGCATTGTCCATCGGGTCGGTGCAGAGCCCTCCGCGGGTTACCTGGTGGCCCACGGGGGCGGTCGAAGAACGCGTTGGCCACCGCAAGTTCGCACGAAATACAAGTTTCCATCAGCGGCAGTCGACTGGGAAGAGCATGCGGGATCGGACCTGTTTGGGCATCCCCGCAAGCAACGCGATGATGTCCAAACGCACGCTTGCCAATTATGCGCTGTTCCCCAGCTCGTACTCGTGGCATCCTTGCGCTGGAGTCGCCGAGAATGTCGGTCGCGCTGTGCGCCGTGGTCTTCCGCAGATTGACTTGGAGGTCAGCGCAGAAGAAGCAGCGAACATCATAAGGGTGGCCGTTGCGAGAGGCATGCGCGCTAAGTGTGGCGAAAATGCCATCCATGATTCTGATACTTCAAACAGCGATCCTCGAGGTACACGCATGGAAAGTCACAGTGATCTCCAGCATCCTCGGAGCAACCAAGAGGCCCACGCCTGCGCATGCTCGCACTTCTGAATCCAGCCCGCCTGACAGGGACACCATGTGCCCTTTTTGTGTGAACTATTCAGCACCGTGAAAAATTCTCTTGATTACATAATACATCAATGCTGTGTGGGCCCATAATGTTGGTCAACTCGTCGGCCTTGATGTTGGAATCACCCAGCAAGCCTTCAACGTTCCAACTGCCGAGGCGGCCAGGACATCGAGGAATGCACGAAGAACGGGGTCTTTCCCAAGACAACGATTCAGGACACGATTGAAGATATCGTCCTCCCTCGCTTTGTGCGCGCGGATGGCCGGATTGAAGTAGACGCGGCTGCAGAAGCAGTCCAGAAGATAGCCCCGCTGACTGCGACAAGGATGGTGGAACGACCGCGGGCCGATGTACGACGGTAGCTTTGCCCGAAATCGTACTGGCGTTGGTTATATATTTGCGCACCATGGCGGCGTGCGTATGTACATGAGGATATTGTTGGCCGGCTCCAGAGTCACTGGAATCCGGCCGTACTTCATATTTGCCTTTTGACTTGCCTTTTGCAGAGCGTTTCATACCCTCGTTGGCTCGCTCCACGGGTGCCGTATTTTTACTCCAAGCTCAATTGGCTTCGGATGCTTCTGCAACTCCTCTCACGTTTTCCAATCACGGCCCCATTCCAAGACAAGCTGAGATTCATGCACACGAACTGATACTGCAATATCTCCCCTACTACTACTTGAAGAAGGAAAATCGTCCCTGGTGACCTGTATCTTGTACTTGTTGTTCAAGTCGTCATTGGTAATGTACTTCAGCCTAAAACACACGTTCCGAACCGCGCGGAAACACGGCGGCTTATCAGGAGCTACCCAAATGGTTGTCCCGCCGTGCTTGGGACTCGCACTCCGTAAAAGACCAACCGCGAGGTCTCAATCGGTTTCGCCAGCGAATAACACGAAGAGCACGTCTTTGAAGTAGCCCTTGGAATATACGTCAGCAACCGTAGGAAGTGACAACGAAGAAAGCGTAGCATTAACTCACGTAGTTGCTGCTGATACATAATCGAATCCTACCAACTTTCCTACTACGGCTGTAAGATCCCGCTTAGTTTCGCCTGTGGTGTTCCATTGTTTTTCATGTTGCAGCTTGTTGGGCACCTGTGTTTCTGAAACCTGCTCCTCGAAGGACTTAATGTGGTCCCAGATGGCCGTGTCGTCGCTCCGGGGAGTGGTTGGGAGATCGGCCTGCTCGGCAGACTGATTCTCGAGCTTGGTGATGCGGATGGCAATGTCCTCGATGCTCTCCTCCACCTCCTCGATCCTGGTGTTGATGGTCCCGCTCACCTTGTTGAGGCGACGCTCGAGGGAGTTGACCGTATTCCGGATGGGTTGTACCTTCTGTCGGATCACAGTTGCGATCTGCTCCAAAATAGGCAGATGATGATGGTGTCCATGTTGCTCCTGTTGTTCGGGGTCCACTGCAGGTGGAGGTGCCTCTGGGGCGGACGTAGGAGTCGCAAGTGCGTATGCCTCGGGACCATGGTCGGCGCCATCAATTTCGTTCGGTCGGCTGAACAAGCGCTTGCGTAACATAATTACCCTCCCTCCCAACTCCCAGAGGCGTCCCTGGCGCCCTCGTGTGTGCACGAGTGGGGCGCGCTCCCGACGGAGATGACATATTCGGTGCCACTGGGGTAATAAGCAGAATGGCACGATGAGAAGCAGAACAAGCAAATGCAAGGTGTGGGATGTCGGAAGTATGGGATGTAAGAGGCGTGCGGCGTAGAGAAAGGAGTCTCGAGCCACCCTTGAGCCTTCAACCACCCTTGAGCCTGTGCGCGGCGCTGGAAAAAAAAACACCCGTGAAATGGTTCATGTTGTCTAAGACGAGTGTGCGCGGTGCTCAGGCGATAGCCGCATTTTGAAGGCGAATGCGCGCGGCACGGAAGCGAGAACCGCATATTGAAAGCGACCAGCCCTGCATCCTTAAACTTGTAGGGAGCTTGGAGGCATCAGGACGTGCGGCGCTGAGGCGAGAGTCTCAGTTTAAAAGCCACGGCACTCAATCCTTGCTTGAGCTTTAGCTTCGTAGCTTCACGAGAGTACCTTGCACATACTGCTCAAGCGATATGAACGGCAGCCTTCCAGCATGTCCGATGGTGCGACAGGGGGACTTTTTGATGAGGAAGAGCGGACGAGGGGCTGCAGTAAGAGAAGAGAGGAAGAGAGGAAGAACCAGCAGGAGGTGCCCATCCTACTCCTCCACGTCCTATCTGACTATCATCCTCCTCCTCCCCTGTTGTCCTTGGAATCGTCCTCGTCGCCCACCTTCTCCTATCTCCGCCTCCTCTCTGGTCATCATCTTCGTAATCTTCTGCATGGCATCCCCTGAACCACCTGACGTCGCGATTGTGCGAGGCGCGAAGCAAACTCAACTTCGCGCTAGAGCCTCGATGGGGAAGAGCACCTCCCCAGCCCAAACTCCTGCACTCCTGCAGGCGACGCGTCCGTCTCCTTAACGCTCCCTCAAAATTCACGGTTTGGAAAACATGGTCCTAGACTTCTCGCCAGGAGTGCATGCGAAGTTCTACGCTACTGCAACTTGACAGTCACAACGGCTGCACGGATAGGGAGGCGGCCCATTTTCAACATCGGGCTCCCGCCTGACCAAACACCAAAAACACTACGGGCCTGTAATGAACGCCTCCTCGTCCGTCCTCATCCTTCTCCTCCTTCGGCCCTCCTCCTCCCCGGTACCCCCGACGGCGCGACGGCGCAAAGTCGTTGGCCCCCACGCAAGAAGAGGAAGAGCAGGGGCAATGTACCAATTACACCAGAAAAAACCTCGATCAATGGATGGTTTTCGCTGAGGAGATCGACCGGGAACCCAGGAGCCCGGGAACCCAGAACCCACCGAAATCGGCCCGGAACCAATAACCGGGAACCCGGGAAACCGGAACCGGGAACCCGGGAACCCAGCCTGCCACCAAAATCGGCGGGAAACTTTCGCCAAATCTTTCAACTTCCGCTAGGACCCAGTGCAAGCACTGATTTGGGAAAAAGCGTTCCCGACGACCTCTCCAAGCCACTCCCAAGCCTCTCACGTCGTGGTGCTGGCAAAACGTCCTGATGTTGACCAGGACGTGGTGGGCATAGGCATTGCTCATCCTCATCCTGCGTCTCTTCTGAAGGGGCCCTGGGACACACAAATCAATAGACACAAGTAACAGGATTCCCCATACTTTCCTAGGTTTTCTGAGTTTCTGTCTCCCCCCCCCACATTTCCCATATTTTCGCACATTTTCCTGGGAGGCGACGATGAATTGTGTCTGTGTGTTTCCTCCCCTCCTGAACTTCATGGCGATTATCTGTCCAGCTGTGGAGGCGGCCGCGGGGTCTGAACTGGCTGGGGCCTCAGATTTTTAATCCGGAGGGGGGGATTAAAATGAGCCCTGGGACACACGAATAAATAGACACTAGTGACAGGATTCCCTTTACTTTCCTACTTTTCTGGGTTTTCGTCTGCCCCCCCACTTCCCATATTGTCCCATAGTGTCGTGGAAGTCGACGATTCATTGTGTCTGTGTGTTTCTTTTCTTCCTGAGGAATTTGAAGCCAACTCCGATCAAAATCGGTCCACGGACCCCTCCGAGGGTCCATCTGGTGTAGTTTTTCACCCCGGATCCGTTTCTAACGGTCCTGGGGCACGAAGACGGCCCCAGGAGGCCGGAAAAGGAGAGGACCGTTTTGCTCTCGAACCTCGCTCGCCTCCTTCCGGCTCGCCGGGACCAGTGCTGTGCCGCCTCAGACCCCGGGCCTGCTCCAAGTCCTGCTCCCCTCCTCCGCGCCAGGATCCTCGTGGTTCACAAGCAGCGGGTCGGCGCCGCCCGCCAGGGCGCCGGCGAACTCGTGCCAGGTGATCCACGCTGGCAGGAGCTCCCGCCGCTCCTGCAGTGGCCGCGGGGAGCGGGAGGAGGTGCTAGCCAGATTCGGTGGAGGTCTGGCCGAGACAACGGAATCCCTTCCTGGCGTTTGGCATCCACCCCGCAGCATGCGCAGAGGATGTCTGCCCTCCTTGAGTGCATCAAGGCAAAGGAGGCACTCTTGAAGGCATAACGTTGCAGCCTTGCCTGCCTTGGGTGTGTTCACCTCCCGACCTTCCCAAGGCGCCGTCTCACCTTGTCCTTGACCCTCCTGGAGGCTTCTCGTCACAAAAGCTGGATTCGCCCCGCGGAACTGGTCAGGATGGAGCCCAGGAGAGGTCCAGGGGGATATTGTGAACTTAAACCTTGTAAGGGGCCCAGGGACACACAAATAAATAGACACACGTCCCAAAATTCCCCATGTTGTCCAATGTTTTCGGGGTGTTCCGTCTCCACCCCACTTCGCATATGTTTCAAAATTTTCTTGTGAATCGACGATTGTCTGTGTTTGTGTTTCCCCTCCTGGCCATGCTCGCCACATGGGAGACCGATGTCCTGGAATCCCAAGGGCGGGGCGGTTAATGCGGACACCAGCTGGCCCTGGCGGGCCCGAATCCCACCAGCCCTTTGAGGGCGTGAGTGTTTTAGCTGGTTTCCTCTTCCAACCCCCTTCTTCCCCTTCTGGGAGGGGTGTACATCATTGTTCCTTATACTGATAAGCGCGCCCTTCCCCCCGGCGACCGGCAACCAACGAGGACCCATGCCACCCCCCCTACCCACCGTCCGTATCCAAAAAACACTGGCACATGCACTCTGGGGCAAACTCTTGGGTCATGCTCGGGAGGCCCCGCGAGCACTTGAAACTCTTGTTTGACGGGGACGGCGGGGGTGCCTGCACATTGCCTGACGTGCGCAGGGCCACCATCCCTCTGACAAAACGCAACGCAAAGTGCACTTCGTGGCAGAATCTGGACCATGCGCGGGCACCCTGCGATCACTTTGCATTGGTTTCTGACAGGGACGGTGGGCGTCCTGGCACAATGCCTGATGTGTGCAGGCCCACCGGGAACTAAGATGGCCACCCCGCCGCGATTGCGCACCGGCTTTCGGACGTGGGTGGTGGGTGCCGGCATGCTTCCCGATGTGTACTGTCACGCGCGCGGGCGCACCTGGCACTCTCTGCGCGTGCCCCGAACGTGGCGCACCTGGCGCGGCTGGAGCATGCGGCACACATGGCGCACGTGGAGCACGTGGCGCATCTGGCGCACCAGGCGTGTCTGGCATGCTTGGGCCTCAGGGGTGCCTGCCGCACCTGGCGCGCCTGGCACGCGTGGCGCACCTCGCCCCAGCGTCGCGCAAATGGGGTCTGTTTTGGCTCACATGCTGCGGCTGGGGTGCTGCTGATGTGTTGACGGACGGGTGGGAGTGAGCGATACGGCCGTGGGCGGGAAAGGCGTCTTAACCCCTTCCCCTGCCCCCTACCCTGGACCTGGACGGGAGGGGGGCGTGGGTCATTAGAGCGTTCAAGAAGACCTCGGCGAGAAGGCGATCATCATTGATTCCCCGTCGGGTTGGAGCCAATTTTGGCCTCCTGGGGGGGGGAGGGGCGAGGGGGCGCTGATTAGAGACCCCCCCCGTTCGTGCATCAAACTCCTCCAAGATGGCCCCAAGATGGAATCCAAGGCTGCCAAGAGTGTCCCAAGAGGCGCCAAGAGGGGCCCCAAGAGGCGCCCAGGAGGCCCCAATGGGCCCCAAAGATGTTCCAGAGAGGCTCCCAAGAGACGCCCAAGTGGCCCCAAGACGCTCCCCCGAGGCACCCAAGACGTTTCAAGAGGCCCCCAGGACCGCATCGAGGTCCCAAAGACGCCTCAAGAGGACTCCAAGAAGCTCTCAAGAGACATCCGAAGAGACTAAGAGAGGCATCCAAGAAGCCTTTGGTTATGCTGCTCGCCCTTCTCTTCCCTCTCCTCCTCCTCCTCCTCCTCCTCCGCCTGTTCCTCCTCCTCCTCCCTCAACCCTTTTACCCCTCCCCCTCCCCCTTCTCCTCCGATTCCTCCTTCATTATGCCCCCCTCTTGGGGTATGACGGATTCCCCAGCCCCTTGCTCCACTGCATGCCCCTCCACATCCATGATCAGGGCAAGTCGCCTGGGCATCGGTTCTGGATGGGCTTGCGGGGTTGCGCGAAGTGCCTAGGATATCTACATCTCCACCGCCCGCCGAAATCCCCGCGGATCCATCCCCCAGGCGATGGGCATGGATAAACCCCCGCCTCGGGCTAAGTGTCGTGATATTGCGATCTTGCCACTGCGCGAGGAGGCCAGGGAACGCCAGGGGCTCGTACCCGGGATTTCATCCCAAGATCGCGCGTCGGGCAAAAGCCCCGGGAGACGTCAGGAAGGGCAGCTGCGAGAAGGGGAGCCGCCGGGTCGTCGGAAATCCTGCGGAATTGGTGCTACGCGGATCCGATCCGGAGGACGACGACGACGACGACGACGACGACGACGACGACGAGGACGACGACGACGAAAAGGACGACGACGACAACGACGACAAAGACGACGACAAAGACGACGACGACAAAGACGACGACGACGAGGACACAAAACCTGCCAGGAGAGGAGGCCAGGGCCCCGCCAGAAGGAGGCGGAGGGATCGCGCGCGGACGGCCTCCTCGCGTCTGCGGGCTGGCCTGGCGCGACTGGTCGGACGGGCAACGGGATGGGCCGAGCGCTCGCTCGGGGGTTGCAGCTGCTGGCTTCGGGCAGCGCGCGGTGGAAAGGCCCGTGGCCGCCGCCCAGAAAAGTCGGAGGGGGGGAAGGTTCCATCTCACCGCAATCACTCCAGGAGCACACCACCAGATTCGGCTGTAGATAGTTGACATGCGTGGAACGTGGGTGATCCTCTGGGCGTTCCGCTTGAGATTTCTTGACTATCTACGATCCCAAAGCTTGGACCTCTACCGAGGAGGGGTGGAAGTGATAGGAGGGAGGTGGTGGGATCGAGGATCGCAGTCTGTGGACCCAGATCTCCGACCGTAAGTTTTTTCCCCTGAAAAGCTTGTCTGGAAATGCTCACCATAATTGTCTACCGCCTGGTGAGGGCGCGTGGGTCCCATTATCATCAGCGACCCCCTAGGGCCTGACCAATGATAGCAAATCAGCATCAACTTCACACAGTGAGGGAATTACAAGAATATCAAAAACGCCTCAATGGGCGTTGAGCAAGGAGGCCTTGTACCGGAAATAAATGGTCCATCGTGGCCCCCCATCATTGGTCCCCCATGGTGGCATTGTGGCCCCCAACATCGTAGAACCCGTGCAAACAAGCCGTCTGGGGACATTCTAACTGGTAGATCTTCCTCGATTTCGGTCTCCGGGGCCCACTGTCGGAACCCAGGGATACCAACATATGAGAGAGCGTGATGCACCGCCGCTTTACTGTGGAAAATTGCCAACCTTTTCCTCCGGAACCCGGGGGTCTCCCCCCCCCCCTCCGAAAATCCCCCCCCCCTGCTGGAACCCCTCCCCCCCCCCCCCGGCAAAACCCCCCCTCCCCTAACCCCTCCCCCCCCCCTCCCCCTCGAAAACCGGGGGGGGGTCACTACCGGTTCGAACCCCTCCCCCCCCCCCCTCCGGATCCGGAAAACCGGGGGGGGTCACTACCGGTTGGAACCCCCCCCCCCCTCGAAAACCGGAGGGGGGTCACTACCGGTTCGACCCCCCCCCCACGCACCGCCAGCAAACGACTCCCGGTCCCTACCACCGCTCGCATGACATCCCCCACTGTTGTTCCCAGCACCACTGTCCTCACCACCACTGCCCCCGCTGGTTCCACCACCGTCCCTATTGTCCCCACCAGTGCCCCCACCACTGTCGCACTGTCCCCACTGTTCCCACAACTGTTCCCACCACGGTTCCACTCTCCCCACTGTCTCCACGGACCCAACCACTGCCTATCCCCACTGTCCCCACTGTCCCACTGACTCCTCCGCTGTCCCACTGAGCTGTCCCACTGTTTCCACCACTGTCCCCACTGTCCCCACCACTGTCCCCACTGTACCTCTGTCCCATTGTCCCACCGCCGTCCTCGCCGACGCCTTTACCAGTGTCCCCACCACCATTGTACCCTCCACTGTCCCAGTGTTTCCACCTCATTCCCACTGTCCCCACACCACTGTCCCCACCACCACCGTTCCCACCACTGTCCACTGTCCCCCCTGTTCCCACCATTGTCCCCACCACTGTCCCCACCACTACCGTCCCCACCGCTGTCCCACTGTCCCCCCACTGTCCCCACCACTGTCCCGCTGTCCCCTCACCACTGTCCCCACCAACACCGTCCCCACCACTGTCCGCACCCCCACTCGGTTTTCGAGGGGGGGGGGGGGGGGGGTTCGAACCGGTAGTGACCCCCCCCCCTTTTCATGATGAGCTGGGGGGGGGGGGGGGGGGTTCGAACCGGTAGTGACCCCCCCCCGGTTTTCCGGAGGGGGGGGGGGGGGGGCCCGGGTTCGAACCGGTAGTGACCCCCCCCGGTTTTCCGCCAGGAGCGGTAGAACACGCTCTTTCCAACATATTGACCAGGGGCGAGGACTAGACCCCCTGGGGGCAAGAGTCGCGACCCCTGAGGCTGCGTGTTGAGAAATCACACAATGCCTGGGGATGTCGGTCCCCCGGGCGCTTTCCAGAGGTCTGGCGGCGGGCGACTCGAGAAAACACACCGTCGGAGGTTGGGGGCGTCCTCTGTGTCCTGTGGGCACGACGGTCGCCTGCGGCCAGAGGCTGCCTTGCGCCCGACGCTGGAGCTGGGCACGCCGCCACGACGCAGACGCTCAGGGAGGCGGTGGGCAAACCCACGGGACAACCCCGACACCCAAAGGTTTCGAGGCCCCTCACCTCTGCGCGTCGCGCCCAGCGATGCGCGACACGCGGCGCGCGGCCGCGAGGCCCTCGGTTCGCCGCCCGGGCGAAGAGCAGCGCTCTGGCCCAACCAGCGCGCGCGATGACTCTCGAGCCCCTGCCAATGACCTGGATGTCTGTTCGTCCTTCACGGCCGTCGCGCCGCCGTGCCCAGACCCCCGACGTGGTGATGTGTCGCCGCGCCGTGCGTCCTCGACGCGCCCAAATGGACGACGCCGACACCACGACAAGTCCACGGCAAGCCCCGCGCCCCGCGCCCCAAGGAGACGACGCCCGCACCGCGCGGACCCACGGAACGCCCTGCGCGTCCGAGGCGGCGCTTGCCCCGGCGTCCGCGGCGCCCTCCCACAGACGCAAGGCCGAGAGTCGGAACCAACGGCGCGGCGACATTCTTTCAGGACGTGGACGCGCAGGGAGGTCCAACTTCTCGTCCAGAGTCGTGTCTCGACTGTGCCAAGGCCCGGTGAGAGGCCCCCGGGTGCAACAAATGGCGAACACCGTTCCGTGTGGAACTTTCACGACGCGACGGGGTCTGGTGCATGCAAGGCGTGTGTCCACATCCACTGCCGCTCGGAGAGCCGGGCTCCCTGCCCCAAAGAACCTCGAGGCGCGCTGGAGAATGCATAGGGATCTGGCCCCCAGAGGCTCGATGTATGTCCATGTCCAGTGCGCCTCGGCCCTGTGGCGCCCCTTCCAAGAGAGTCGAAGATGCACCGGGTGTGGATCGAACTCTTTGACTACCTACCAGACCACCCCAACCCAACCCAAAGACCCGAATTTCGGGTCGGGAGGGATGGGGTTCCACAGGTGTTTTGTCGATGTTTCCCGACCCCCCCCCACTGGAAATCGAGGGTAAATTTGAGCCTTCGGGTTGGGTTGGGGTGGTTTGGCGGGTGGTGACTCCTGCCCGCGTCTGGGGTCGTGCCGCTGCAGACCGCCGAGGACCGCTGGACGGTCGCCGTGCCGCCCGGTATGGCCAGAAGCCGCCTCGGGAACCCAGGGCACCTCGCCGCGGCCACAGCCCTTCGCGGAGGCGGCTGGGAGAAGCCACAGAGCAAACCCTAGGCACAGTTATTGTGTTCCTCCCTTAGGAATTTCTTCTCCGCGGTAACTATCGTGCCCGTCGCACCCTTCGGACCCGGCGGCGAGCCCGGGGGGGAAGTGAGGAGGCGCGGGGCGTCTCAGAAGGCTCGGGAGGCCTCGGGCCTTCCCTGGAGACACAGAAAGCTGCTCCGAAGGCCAGGGGGGGGTCTGAGAAGCCCCGCCGCCTTCTGGGAAGGCCTGCTCCTTCTCACTTCCCCCCGGGCGCGCGCCTCGAGGCACGCAGCGGTCCTCTGCATGGAGCAGCGGCAGGCCCATGGCTCCCCTAGAAGCCCTAGGAGGCTCCGAAGAGGCCCAAATCTCACTGCACCGGCCTTGCAGACGTGATGCAGCGGATTTCTGCGTGGATTTCTGCGTGGATTTCTGCTCGAAAACGGCGAGCGAACAACGCAGTGCATTTCGCGTGCATTGTTGTTGTTTAGTCTTCATTCCTGGCTTCCTGTCCCCAATAATTCCGCGCGAAATTCACCTCGAAAAACAAGACGAAATTCTCCAGGACACTCCGGGCCCATCATATCGTCTTCCGACCGAAATCCGCTCTGCGATGTTGGCGCCATGACAAATCAGGCCCTTAGAGACTCCAGGGAGGCCGAGAAGCCCCACGACACCCCTAGAACTGCCTCCAAGAAACGTCCGAAAGGCCTACCAAGAGATTGCGACACGCATCCCAAAATATTTCTGGCGTACAGTCCAAGCACGTTGATGGAGAACGGAAGACGGGAGCTGGATCCCAGGGGCTCTTCCCATAGGCCAGCCTTTTTCATCCCGACTCGTTGAATTGACGGTCCACGGAGATCAGAGACAGTGAGACACCTCCCAAACCCGGTTCCGTCAAGACACGGAGGACATCCAGGAACATCCGGGACACGAACGACCGTCCGTGGCGTCCGAGTGGACCGGACGGACGATGGAGGGCCAAGGCTTTCGTGTAATCACGACGGTCTCAGGGACCTGCGCGACACAAATCTGGCCGCCGCCGCCGTTCGCCGGCCGGTTGAGCATGGGGGAAGCGTGTGACGAAGTGCGCGGGCCTTGGGCCCTGTGGTGCCTGCTGCCCCAGGAGGAGTGTTCATCCTGAGCCGTTCCCTGACGGTCCCGGGCACCGTCTAGCGGGGGCGCGCCATCATGGAATAGCGATCCATGGATTTGGCGCGCCGTCGCCAAATCCATGGATCGGGGGAGGTGCCCTCCCCAAAACGCGGCCGTTGCCGCCGTGTTCGGCGGCGAGAATCCGCGATTCCCCATGGAAACGGGATCCGTCGCTAATCCATGCCCCCTGAATCCATGTTTGCGATCGCCTGAGTGCAGGGCCCCGAGAGACCGAGAACGGCGACAAACCTGAGGACCCGTTTCCCCCATGGCGTCCAGTGCCACCCAAGGCCCCGAGCCGAGCGACCGGTCCAGGGGCGTGGGCGAGGCGGCGGCCCGCGGCCCTGCCAGCTGGCCCCACCGAGAAAAGACGACGACAACGACGACTACGGCGACGGCGACGACGACGATGACGACGACCACGACGACGAGGAGGACGAGGACGACGACAGGACGACGACAGGACGACGACGACGACGACCACGACGACGACCACGACGACGAGGAGGACGAGGAGGAGGAGGACGACGACGACGTTGACGACGACGACGACGACGACGACGACGAGAGCGAGGACCCTCGGCGGCGACGGCGGCGGCGGCCGCGACTACAGCGAGGGTCGGCGCCCGCGGTGGCGGCGAGGGCGGCATGCAAGGGCGGCGGCAACGGGCGACGGCGGCCGAGAACGACGAGAGTGGAGGCCTCCCTGATGGGGTCGGAGGATAACACGAGCCGTCGAGAAAGACGTGGCCAGCAAATCCTCCACCCCCACGATCGGGGTCGTCGTGCCATTGAATATCTACACCAATCTCCGAGAGCGGGGGGGGACACTGGTCCCCTGGGTGTCGGAAAAGGCCTCGAGTAAACAGAAGGAGGTCCACATTGGGGTCCTTAGAGGCTTCTAACTACCAGGGGTCCACTAAAAGATTCTCTGGGCTCGGACGGCGATGCATCGGCGACGCATCGGCGATGCATCGGCGTGGAGGAAATCGGGCAGGCTCCGCATCGAGCCGCATCGTCGACGCATCGGCGATGCGGCGCGATCCTCGGACCGCATCTGCTCGGACACCATCTAGGAGGCCCAGAGAGAAGGGTCAGCGGCGGCAGCGGCACTGGCGGGCTGTGGCCGGCTGCACGTAAGTCAGGAGGGGAACAAAACACACAGACACAATTCATTGTCGACCCCCCCCCCCGAAAATATGGGAAAATATGGGAAGTGGGGGGAGACGAAAACCCAGAAAATATACAAACATATGAGGGGATCCTGGGATTTTGTATATATTTGTGTCCATGGGCCCCTTCAGTAAGATTGACCCTGGGCAAGAGTGACCTCTGGTGCGCGGCTGTGGGGGAGCCGCGGGGGGCCGAACCCAGGCGCGCAAGCCGCACCTATCGTATCGGATCCGACGATCGGGACGCCCCGCTGAGCCAGCACCCCAGGTTACTCCGGCGAAGGGCCACTCCCACGCGTAGCCGAGGCAGCGGCGATGGCGGGCTGGGGCTCTCCTTCAGCCGGGCGAGCTCGCGCGCCTCGTTGTGCGCCAGGAGCTGGGGCATCGGCAACTCCTGGCGGGCCGTGCGTCTGGGCGGACGTGCCTGTTTCCGGGGCATCCTGGCTGAGGACGTGGCTGTTCGTGCGCTTTGGGGCGGCATCCTGGGGATCCCGGGGGCGCCCTCGTCGACACGACTGGGCTCGCCTCGAGGTTCTGGCCCGGGCGCGCGAGCTTTCAGGGCGGCTCGAAGCTCCTACAACCGCCGCCCCTCACCAACGCTGCAGCTTCTATAGGGCGTTGCCCCTCCTCCTTCTCGTCTCCTCATTTCCCTACTTCGCCTGCCCCCACCCCCGTTTCTCGGAGCCCACAGAAATGGCCCAATCTCCCACAACATGCCCAAAATACATCCCGCGAACAAGCCCCGAGACAGGGCTCCACACCGGGAAACTGGGCGCACTGCCTTCCCAGCATCTCTCCTGCTCTTCCCCTCCCCCGTCCTCCCTGCCGCCCCTAGGCACCTCATCGCTCTTCGTCGCCCTTTCCGCGTTTTTCTGGGCTCGAGCAGCCTGTGCAACCCAGATCTCTTTCGCCCCGTGTGCCTTTCGGGGGCAGGCGGAACGGCCAACCCTCCTGCAGTTACGCGAGGGCAGGAGGAGGAGGAGCAGGAGGAGGAAGACCAACGCAAACCGAAGACTCATCAACAATACTGGAATACGCCATCCCTCCGAGCTCCTGCTTCATAGGCCCCCACACGGACTCCTTTTCACTGAGGGAAGTGCCCCGTTGGAAGACGACTGCTTGAAAACTCGGACTGGCGCCAGGACACCACTTCTGGGACATCAGCGCCGGGAATCACCGTTACTGTTGCGTCTTGACGTTCTTGCATCAACTTAAAACACCGGTTCTGGGACTGCCACACCGCGGATGATTTTTGCCTGATGCGACCTGACAACCAAACATCGCAACAAAACATCATTTCTGGGACGCTAGCCCTGACAACGCTTGAATCTGCTGCAAGCTCTTTAGACGAATGTGCGCGGCGCTTACGCGAAAACCACATACTAAAACAGGCCACCCTCCAACCGTGAAGTTCTTATTGCAAACTGCTCCAAAACGAATGTGCGCGGCGCTAAAAAGAGAACAACATTTTGAAAACGGGCCGCTCTCCATTCGCGAAGCTCTTGGGAACGCTCTAAGCGAATGCTCGCGGCACTAAAGCGAGAACCACATCTTGAAAACGGGCCGCCCTCCAACCGTGAAGCTCTTGCACACTTTCCAAGACGAATGTGCGCGACGCTACTCGCGAGAGACACATCTTGAAAACGGGCCGCCCTCCATCCGTGCAGGCCTTGCAAGGCTTTCCACACGAATTTGCGAGGCGCGAAACGCGAGAGCCACATTTTGCAAACGGTCCGCCCTCCATCCGTGAAACTCTTTCAAATCCCAAGCTTCAAGATCATACATGGTGCAGAGGCCTCGAGCGAAACGCCCGGACCGCCCTTTCGACCGGCCCCGGGGTGCGACAGGGAGGAGTTATCTAGAAGGAAAGAAGGTGGAGGAACATCTGCAGCAACAACTAGAACAGACCCCCCCACCCGCGTTCGCGCTGCCCGTTCCCCCCCCCTCCCCAACCTTCCAGGCCGCTTCCCATCGTGCTTGGCGGTCTCCTCGTGCTTGACACGTTGCAGCAGCCCGCCCGCGCGTACAAACACTGAATTCTGACAAGTAGCGGCACAAGTCGAAACTTGCCACTGGGATGCCTCGGGAAATGTATCCAAACCCTGCGCCGCCGCACCTGTGGCCCGTGAGCCCCCTTTGTGTGTGTGTGACATGGGTGTTGCACTTGTGCACGAGTTGGAAAGCTTACGGCATGGGTCCAAAGTGATTCTGCAAGCTTGACCAGCCGCGTGTGGTGATGCGCGAGGCCCGAACGGGCACAACGAACCACGGAAAGAGACTAGATGACCAGCTGCGCGTCCGCCTTCATATTCACGTCTTGATAACCAACTGGCTGTAGCCACGTTCAAGACGCATACGGAGACTCATCGCGCGGAAGCACGAGCCCATCGGGCCATGATAGGGTCTGGAGAGACTTTGCGAAACACGGGGTGGATGATTTACGAGACCTCTCGATTCGGTCTAGTCGGGCAGAAATGATATGATGCCCTCTGGGCAAACCAATGTCAACTGATCGAACCTTGCTGCTAGATGGCGAGAAATGGGAAAGGTGGAGGAAATCAAGAGCGAACTACCCCGAGGAGACTCATTGTGCATTGCCACTGCCATCACTTGCACCTCACCTTGTATGGGGCACATCCGTCAAGGAGGCGGTGGAGAGATGGAGGAAAGGGGAACAATGATAGGGAGGACGAGGGAACTGGCAGACCGAGGATACTCACACCCATAATGACATCCTGGCGCGGCGGGGGAGGGGTGGCGATCCGTCATCAGCTCACGTCCGAGGTAGGCCATCTGGCCTGGAGGGCAAAGACGAGAGAATGAAACATCAACGGATCAACGATAGCGGATCATAAAGAGCGCAGAAGAGCAAAGAAGGCAGCTCTTCGGCAGCGGTCCAGCAAGGGTAAAGGGGGATCAAGGAGAGATCTGCGGATCTGCTGCAGACCGTGCAACCCTTGTGAGATATATTCGGTGCCACACAAAGGTTCTGGCGCGGATATCAGGGCTTCAGGGGGTTCTAGGATGGCCGAGTGGAACTGCGGTTCCTTTCTTATATAAAAACTTGTTGCTGGTTCTAAGAGAGCTTGGTGGACCGAGCAGATCAGGAATATGAGGACAGGGCAAGGGTTAACATGGGAGCGGAGAGAAATGACCCAGGCCGACCAGACGTGTGAGTGCCATGGCTCAAGGGGGAAAGAGGTTATGTTTTCCCATGGGGGAGGTTCCAGGGCATCCGATGAGATAGTTAAAGGCAGGTCCAGGTTGGAGATGGGAAGGCGTTTGTAGCCTGGGAGCTGACCTGACACTCCAAGGGCTCGAAACGATGACCTGGCGCTCGCCCCCCCTATATCGACTATACTGTTTGCCGCCTACCGCAAACATAATCATAAACCCATTCCTCCCCTCCCCTTCCCGCCAGTCCGACTTCTTCTTCCCCTCACCTCTTTCCTCCTCCCTCCCCTTCTCCCCTCCCCTTCCCCCCAGTCCGACTCCGTCCCCCCCTTTCCTCTTTCCTTCTCCCTACCCCTCTCCCGCAAGTTTCTATCCGGCAATTAGAGAAATCCAAGGGAACGCTTCGATGCCCTCCGACCCCCTGCGATCACCTGGCGGGGCGGGGCGGGGCTGGGGGCCTTCAAGGTCCAAGCCTCGATGGATGGCCAACAGTCACCATGTCTGGCCTATGACTTCCTGCCCGCTACCGTTGCCGAGCGGGCCTTGGTTCGGCAAATTCTGACCAACTGCCAAAGGAGTGTGCCTTAACAATCCGCTATGCCCAGCGTTTGAATCATGAAGGTTCTGCCACTTCTGACGCGCCCCCCATGTGTGGAGACGACCCCCACTCTGGCGGACCATCCTTCCTGCTTTCGGTAGTGAGTTATACTACCATACCAAAAAAAGGCGCCGCGCGAAAAAACTGAGACGCGCCGGAGGGTCATTGAACCACACTCTGGATCGCGCCTTGATGTGCACAAACACGGGCTCCGAGCTGTGGCAGATCTGCAGGCGCCCCCCCCTGACCAGAGGGGACGCTGATACAATATCCCTAGGCATCGCGCGCCATCTACACGTCGCTGGCGCCTCGCGCCTCACGAACACTGTTGATGCCCGACGCCTTCCCCGCAATGACCTCACCATAAACTGGCATTGCCGATGCCCAAACGTCGGAAGACCAACGCAAAGCGTCGATTATCTCTCCTACAAGAAGACACACACACACATTGTGTACGGACTAGTACCCTGAGTGGAATTGGGCAAAGACGTTCAGGCACGGGCCAATTTCCAGCGCCGAAGAACGGGCGCGCGCTGACACCTGAGCATTCAAATAATGAGCGTAGAACACAGAGGGCTGGACGCCCGTCGACGTTTTCAGCAAACACCGCGCGCAACCCCCTGTCGCAGCTGGCGAGCTGGCTGCCACGGAGACTCTGACTGGGGGAGCAAAACATACCTACACCGGTACTCCCTGGACCTCTCTTCTGGGGCGCGTTCTGACCAGGACTTCGAAGCGAATCCACCCGTGGTGGCATGGGAACTGTCGCGGTACAAATCCTCCTTCTCCTAGCCCTCCCATTCCTCGATCCTCCTTCTCCTCCTGCTTTCCCTCCTGCCCTGTTCCCTGCCTGGCCTTGGCGTCGATGCCCTGCGAGGCCCCGCGCCTGGCCGGAGAAGAGCCCAACGTGGGTCCGCGCGTGCCTGCGAGCGAGCGAGCGAGTTCTGCTCGGCTGCTCGGCTTCGCTGAGGACGGATGGCGGAGGTACGAAGGGCGGCCCTGCGCAGCATCCTTCCTTGTCGAGACATGGTGCGCGCAGCCCTGTGCGACGCTCTCATCGCGTCACTCAGGGAGGTCATCGCGTGCCCGTTGCGCTCGTCGCGGCGCTGCCTGACGCTGCCAGCTCCCGCGGCTTCGCCCAGAGGAGAGGGTGAAGAGGGCCCAGCTGGCCTGCTGCCGTGGAGCGCGCCCCGCGTCCAAGATCGGGACACTTGGCCCGCGCCTCAACTCGAGAACACAACAAAGTCCAAGGCGCCACGGGAAGGTGACCGACCGCCCACCCCCCCCAACAGAGCACGACGCAGTGAGCGAACCCGTCCAGCCACAGATCCCGCCCGGTCGCAAAAGCTAGCCGTTCAGCCGTGTCGCAGCTTCCAGTCAGTCTGCGGTGGCCTCGGAAAGCGCTCCAGCTGCATTGACAAAAAGAGGCCATTGGCAGACCCCTGCCGCTGCAATCAGAGCGAAGCTTCAGCAGCACGATGCACCAGTGTCGAAAACGTATGCGTGCGTACACGTCGTTCATGTCTAATCGTGCTCATTTCTAACTGTGCTCGTTTCTAATTGTTCCTGGCCACCCAGTGGCCATGAAGAGACCCAGGATGGAACAATTAGAAATGAAAGGACCTTGGCCCCCAAAAAATTAAAGAACCGCCGAATGATTAGAAATGAACAATGTGTATGCGTGCGTACACCACTCGATTGAACCATCTGCCGTCCGGCGGGTCGCTGCTGTCGTGACTGCCCGGGGGAGCGCCGGCCTTCGGCGCCGTGGTAGGAGATCTCGTCCTTCAGCGAGTGCTCCTGCGGGGGAGGACCATCCGAGCGGGCTGCCAACGCCCATGCTCGGCTACACGCAAGACAAACCTGGGTAAGAGTGACCTTTGGTGCGCGACTCAACCGGGCGCGTGGGGTGGCAAAACACAAGCGCGCAGGACGCTACCATCGTATCGCGCTCGGCGATCGGGGGAACCCAAACGGGCCCGCACCAAAGGTCACTCCGGCGAAGGGCCACTCTTACGTCTAGTCGACATGCCATCACCAGTGAAGCCAGCCTCGTCACCGCCCCCCACATGCACCACCACCACCTCACCTCCTCATCCTCTGGGACAGACCCCCGACGTCGCGATTCGCTCGCACAGTCGACCCCTGGAGGTCCCCCTTCCCCGGGGCCAGCCTGTCCAACCAATGTCGTTTTTGGGGGGATACAAGGAGGTACCGATACCGGTACTCCTCGGACCTCTCCCGGGGTGCGTTCTGACCAGGATTTCGAGGCGAATCCAGCGGTGGCGGCGAGGCCTTCCCAGGAGGCCCGAAAAGGGGCAAACGAGGGAAGGGTGGGCACCCTTGACACCTCTGATTTTTGGGCGGTCGCGGTGCCCGCCAAGGGCCCCAGGGAATCGACGAGGGCACAAGAAGCTGGAGACACCTTTGGGCCAGGCTCTGGCAACCTCTGCGGCGGGGCAGTCGAGACACAACGGCGGCTACCCCGCCAGGACCAGGTCTAGTCGAAACGGGCCCGCGGGGTCCATCCTGACCCGTCTCTCGAAGCGGAAATCCTGCCATGGTGACGGGAAGCCTCAGGGAAACCCAACGTGGTTTTTCAAGACGTGGACCCCGCGAGGTCTGCTGGACCCCTTCCCCGGGACCGGCCCGTCATCCTGACTCCTGGTTCGACGGCCTCGGAAACCTGCAAGGGCCTCCATGGGGGGAGGAACCTGCCCCAGACCCGCCGCCGCCACCTGTTCACGACATGAGAGGGTGGGGGACCCCGAACGGAGCAGGAGAGGGGGGAGCATGGGGTCTTGCACTCTCTGCTGTGTCTCGCCCGTAGCCCCGTGGCTCAGAGGTGATGGCGTAAACCCCATTTGAGCGTCCACAGCGTTCAGAGCCATAGGTGCCAGTCGCATGGAAAAACGGCTGTAACCTCCTTCCGGAACCAGTTAGGAGGCCGGCCGGGGGCGGCCGTGACCGGCCCGGCGCCCGGGCGGCGAGCGCGCGGGCGGGCGTGCGGGGCCTGCGCTCGATCCGCTCGCCTCAGGGCCTTCCTCGGACCCGAGGGCCCCGGGCGGAAGCACGAGGAGGAGGAGGAGGAGGAGGAGGAGGAAGAGGAGGATGAGGATGAGGATGAGGATGAGGATGAGGATTAATATGAGAATGGAGATGAAGATGAAGATGTGGAGGCGCAGGAGGAGTAGAAGGAGTAGAAGAAGGAGGATGAAGATGAAGATGAAGATGAGGATGAGGATGAGGATGAGGATGAGGATGAGGATGAGGATGATGATGATGATGATGATGATGATGATGATGATGATGATGATGATGATGATGATGATGATAATGATGATGCTGATGATGATGATGATGATGATGATGATGATGATGATGATGATGATGATGATGATGATGATGATGATGATGAGGATGAGGATGATGATGAGGAGGAGGAGGAAAGGAGGAGGAGCACCCCCCGCGCCCTGTGCTTTCGGCCGCACTCGGCACCAGGCTTCCGACGCTCCTGCAAGCACGCGTCGAGCGCCTCCGCGGCTTTGCGGTGGCCCGTCACCCGGCGCAGCAGCGCCGCGACGACGGTGCCTGGAAGGGGGGGGGGGGCAGCCACATTCTGTCCAGACCCGCTGCACCTGGGGCGAAGAAGCTGGCCCTGGGCCCCAGGGGCCGAGAGGTCCCGAGTACAAGGCCGGGAGCAGAAGCACTGCGCCGGAGATCTGGAGGGGTGGGCCCCCTTCCTCCTCCCGCTCTCTTCCCTGTCCGCCCCTCTGCTTGGGCAGCGGAGGGGGCCTCATCGTTCCTCCACCTTCCCGCTCCCTTCTCTTCAAGCCTGCTTTGGGTAGGGCTCCTAATTACTCGATCACCCACATCGGCCTCCGTCCGCCGAGGTCTCGACCCCTTCCCCGCGGCCGGCTTCTCATCCTGAGTCGTTTTGCGACGGTCTCTTGGCACGGCGAGAACCCCTCGATTGAGTCAGCGAGAGTCAGGCTTAGGGGGCCGAGCGGTCTTTCACGGTCTCTGGGTGCGTGGCTGCACTGGGCCTGCGGAGGGCGGATTGTCGTTCGAGCCGTTCTTGTCGCTCGTTTTGTCGTCGTCGCGCGACCCAGTCGTGCCTCAACCCACCCGCAACCCACTAGCACCGCGATCCACCAGCAACGCGCCCCGCTCGCGAGCCACCCGCGCCAAGACCCACCCACGCCGCTTTACTATTACCGAAAACTGCGGGGGGGACTAGGGTGTCAGAGATGCCACCACGTCCCCTAGGGAACCCGCCACGCGGGCCACAGGGCCCCATGGGCCCCAAAAGGGAGCGAACAACTGCGGGCACCTTGCAAACCCGTCCGAGGAGGGCCCGATGCGACAATTGGGGCCCCTTCCCCATCGTCATCCTTCTCTCCTCGCTTCCATGGGGAGGGGGGAAGAGGAGGCGCGAGCTTCTCCAGGTGGTGAGGTAGAAGAGGGGGAAACAGAAAAGGAACATAAGAAAAACGAGGAGGAGGAGGAGGAGGACGAGGAGGAAAAAGGAGGAGGAGGAGGAGGAGGAGGAGGAGGAGGAGGAGGAGGGGGGCGGAGGAGGAGGATGAGGAAGGAGGACAAGCAGAGGGGGAAGGGGAAAGGGGCCGGGGAGCCGGGCGAGGCGACAAGGACGAGCACGGGGCGTCGGACCAAAGCTGGCGGGGGGGGGGGCACTGGGGCGCGGGGGGGCGGGCAAGGCGGAGAGGGAATTGGGCAGGAACACGACGAGCGGGGACGGGGGTTGATGGGGGGGCCGGGCGGGCGCCGCAGCACGAACCAGGCAGAGACTGGGGGGGGGGGGGGGGAGGCGCGCCGCTGCCAAGAAGAGGAAGAAGAGCGGCCACGAGAGCGAGCAAGAAAACAGCCCTTCCAGGGGCAAGAAGAATCCGCATCCCCTCCAGGGGGCTTTCCCCAAAGCGCGAGGGCAAGGAGAGGCAGCGGCGTTCAGGGCGCGGGGAGGCGCCCCAGCTCCCAGACACGCCTTGCACCCACGGAGGAATCATATAATCATATGGTTATCTCTCGCCCTGGCTGCCATGGATCCGGAAGGCAGCCCAGCTCAGCGCGGCAATTGCATGGGTCGCCTGGTTGTCAGAGATGTCTCACAGCACGAGATCACTCAACGTAGGGGCCTCTCGCAGATGTCGGGCCAAACGAGCCGAGGCATCCTTGGACAGCCTGGTTCCCCGAAATCCGCCTTTATGACGGTATGCGTGGCAGCATGGACATACGAGGTCATAAAAAACAGCGAAGGAAACGAGCCGAGAAAGCAGAAGCGGGAGAAGCTGATCAACACAGCGACGCACGAGTCGAAGACAAGAGACGAAAGAGGGGGGAGACGAGGAAGAAAGGGACGACGAACAAGCTCAGCGATTCGCACTCGAGAGATTGCTCGAGACGGTCGAGCCTCGGGGATCCACGCAAGGCACAAGGCTGAACAAGATCCGCGAATCGCCCCGAACAGCACCATCCGTTCACTTGCTGGGCGGGCCCATGATGGAGAGCGGAGGAGGCGGCACACATGTCGTAGAAGACAAAGCCTACCCCGCCTGAATCCCAGCCTGCGCATGCCGCGAGAGAGCCCTGCCCTCCAATTCGACGATGTTGCATGTGCCTTGCCTCTAGTGAATGAAGCCCCGTTGCCAATCGACGGCGCGCGCCTGGCGCTTGCGCCGAAAAGTTCGGTTCAGCGCGGTAGAGGCCAGTTTGTTGGCATTGTCAGAGAGGCCAATCGGCCTCGCTGCAGTCCCAGTCCTGCAGGGCGCTCCCAGGACATCCTCAGGCATCCACCCCATTGACCAAGAAGACCGCGATAGCAACGCAGAAACCGTTGGGAGAGACGCCGAAGAAGAGCCGCTTGCAAATCAGGCAGAACGTCCGAAGCCCAGCAGCACCAGACCGAAGCCTTCTGGAATGCGGCAGCCCATCTGGGTCAGCAGTGGTGCCCTTGATCCTGGCGAAGCAACCGACGAACTCTTCGTAGCACTGTCACCAGTCCACGTGCTCGGGCGATCTTTGCACGCGCGGGGCAAGCTCGAGGAGGGCATCATGGTCGCAACTCCTCTTGCTATGGACTCTCCAAGTGGGCAGCCAGACGATCGCAAGCTCACCGCGGTTCGGTCACGTCGGCGCCCGAGGGGTCAGCGAGGCCCGCCAGGGAGACCCCCCGATGGCCCGATGGGGTGCCGCGACGAACAGTTTCCGCGCAGCCTGGAGCGCAGGGCCGCCTTCCGAGATGGAGGCGAATTCTGGTCGGCTTCGAATTCGCGAAGTCGGGCCTCTAACTGCTTTGCCTGCAAGTCCCCATGACGCCGATGAAAACCAGGAAGGTCGACCCACAGACCAGACATGCCATCGAAGAAGGCCCCCGGGGCTGGGCGAGCCCGAGTGGCCCGACGAGCCAGAGCCGAATCCTCTCCCCTCATCGAGGAAGGGCAATGCACCACGCGGTGCGCTCTGCGTCTGAGTCCGCCCCGCGCTGTTCGAGACGCCGAAGGGCCAATTTCGCAGCAGCCCGGAAAGCATCCCGAGAAACCTCCAAGCGCTCCCTGAAATCTTCGGGGGAGTCGATGTCTGCGAAAATCCCCCCGCAGGCCCGTGTACCACGGGTGGTTCCTGACCGGGCTGGGAACGTGGAACAACGATGGCCGTGCCGATTCCGTCGCGCAAACACGCGCAGGAACGTGGCCCGAAATCCCCGGTCTATCCACAGCGGACCCATGCACCAAACTATTCGTGCTGGGGCCTAGCAGCTCAGCAGAGAACATGTCCACCAGGATCCGATCCACGCGGGCCAGGGAAACCAGCTGTCCTTCCTGGACAACGCGGCGCGCGGGCTGGCCCCGGGCGCCATTCGCAAGCCCCGGAAAGAGACGAGCGCATCTCGACGCGAAAGAGTGCGGCGCAGAGGCGAACCTTCCCAAGAGATGCAATCCGCTATCCCCCCCCCCCCCCCCCCCCTTCGCATCGCAAAAGCAGTTGGCGCCGCCGCCCCGAGCAAACAAGCGAGGCCCGCGACGGCGGCGGGAACCAATCCGAAACCCGAGTGAAGAAGGCACGCTGCTGGGTGATGGTGCGGCCTGGGTGGTTGCGCAAATCGGCAACTCTGGCGCGTCCCGGACTTCCCAGCGCGGCAAGCGCATGAGCTCGACCAGCAGCGGTAACGCGATGACGAAAGCGACGGGGGCGCCGAGCGAGAGCAGGATTGATGCAGATGACGCAGCCCCCCGCCTTGCCCTCGAGGAAAGCCCCGTAGCCCGCGAGCCCGCCAACCTCGGACACCAGGGGATCAAACCAAATTGGTGCCCACGGATCTCTTGCAAGAGAACAATGTCATGCACGCGTGTCAGACGCTGATTTTCCAGGCGGGAAGGCGATGGCGAGAGCGCAGACGGTTGAACAGACAAAGAGCATTCCACGATACGATGGAAAGATGATCTCGCGCCGCAGACGCACGGGCCGCATCGCCCAGGCCGCTGCCCGACGGCTCCGACAGGTCAGAGACGCCGGTGGAGGGCAAGGAAGTCACCGACGCACTCGATGTAGAGCCCCCCATGCTTGGGGCATTGGATTGGGGTGGTATAGCCCATGGGTGGTATAGGGATTTTTTTTTTTTTTTAAAAAAAAAAAGGATTTTCAGATATGTTGCTGGGCTATACCACACCGTCCAACATTTGCGAGCATCACATCAACGATGTTACAATCAGAAGGCTGAGCCCCACTATTATGCTTAGTTGATCATGGCGGAGCGGCGAAACCTTAGCTATTATCCGATATGCGTCTGAAGAGGAACTGCCTGATCTCACTATTGCTCCTTGCCCACGATCATCGCTCTGTTGTCCGTCTGCATGTATGTCCTCATCGTCCCTACTACGTTCTGAGACACTTCATCCTCATCTTTTGGTATGTTAATCCCACCAGCCCTTTAGGGCGTAGGTGGTCTAGAGAGTTTCCTCTGCCAACCCCCCTTCTTTCCCTTCGGGGAGGGGTTTACCCCTCCCCTTACCCCTCCCCACTGACCTGGACGGGGCGTTCCGCGACGCGTTGGGACGCCCAAGATGGCCCAAGACTGCTCCAAGAGCGAAAAGGCGAGAAAGCACAAAACATTAATTTTCCTTAGGTTTTGGAAGGATGTTGGCCTCTTGGGGGGGGGCCCAAGAGGCGATCCGAGGCACTCTAGAGGGGCGAGCCTAATTGAGGCTCCCCCCTTCTTTGATAGATCTCCTCCAAGATGGCCTCAAGAGCGCCCCGAAGGCTCCCAAGAGCGCCCCAAGAGCGCCCCAAGAGGGCCCCAAGAGACCCCAAGAGGCCCCCAAGAAGCCTCCAAGAGGCTGCCAAGAGACCCCCAAGAGGCCCCAAGAGAGTCCAAGATGGCCCAAGACGGCTCCAAGAGCGAAAAGGCGAGAAAGCAAAAAACATTGATTTTCCTTAGGTTTTGGAAGGATTTTGGCCTCTTGGGGGGCCCAAGAGGCGACTCGAGGCACTCTAGAGGGGCAACGCTAATTGGGGACCCCCTCTTCTTTGATCGATCTCCTCCAAGATGGCCACAAGAGCGCCCCGAAGGCTCCCAAGAGCGCCCCGAGAGCGCCCCAAGAGCGCCCCAAGAGGCCCCAAGAGGCGCCCAAGAAGCCTCCAAAAGGCCCCCAAGAGACCCCCAAGAGGCCCAAGAGGCTCCCAAGACGGCCCAAGACGGCTCCAAGAGCGAAAACGCGAGAAAGCACAAAACATTGATTTTACCTAGGTTTTGGAAGGATTTTGGCTTCTTGGGGGGGCCCAAGAGGCGACTCGAGGCACTCTAGAGGGGCAAGGCTAATAAGCAACCCCCCCTTTTTGGATAGATCTCCTCCAAGATGGCCCCAAGAGCGCCTCGAAGGCTCCCAAGAGCGCCCCAAGAGCGCCCCAAGAGGGCCCCAAGAGGCCCCAAGATGCCCCCAAGAAGCCTCCAAGAGGCCCCCAAGAGACCCCCAAGAGGCCACAAGAGGCTCCCCGAGATACGCAAGAAGCCCCCGGGACCGCCAAGAGGCCCCAAAGACGGCCCAAGAGGCCCCCAAGCTCGCCATTGTCCTCCTCCTCCTCCTCTTTTTCTTCCTCCTCCCTCCTCCCCCTCCCCCTCCTCCTCCTCCTCCTCCTCCTCCTCCTTTTCCTTTTCCTCCTTCTCGTCCTCCTCGTCCTCGCAGTCCTCCATCTCCTCCTCCTTATCTCCTCCTCCTCCTCCTCCTCCTGCTCCTCCTCCTGCTCCTCCTCTTCCTCCTCCTACTCCGACGACGACGGCTCCTCCTACATCCTCCCCCTCTTGGGGTATATGGCGGCTCACCCCGCCCTCTGTTCTTCTGCATGCTCCCCCGCTTCCCTCATAACCTCCACTCCCCTGGGACTCATTTCTGGACGGGCTGGTGGGGATACGCGAAGCGTCTAGAATTGTTATCTTCCTCCTCCTGTTTCTTCCTCCCTCCTCCTCCTTACCTCCTCCTTCTCCTCTTCCTCCTCCCTCTCCCCCCTCCCCTCCTCCTCCTCGTTTGGAAAGGGGGGGGAGGGGCTGCAGCTGATCCCCAGGAGCAGCACCTTCGTGAGAGGGCATGTGGCAATGCAGCTGTGAGCATCGTCTTGGATAGTACATGAAGAAACCCACGAGTAGGCCGTGAAGTTTCACATAGAGACTTGCGCTTCCACCAAGGGAGGTCAAACAAAAAGACCCATCAAACAACAATGAGTTTCAATCGAGATCCCGCGAGGCAGCCGTGAGGTTTCAGACCGAAACCCAGGGAGGGATGAGTCAACATGGAAGGGGGGGGGTCAAACCCATGCGCCTTGGAACGGTTACCTGCCCCCCTTAGTTGTTGCCCATTGTTTTCCAGCGAGCTGGCAGCCAGCCACCACCGTTCAGACTCCTCTGCGGTGGCTGGGATGTCCCAGGAGGCCGCACGGCGCGGCCCCCTAAACAGAAAGCGTGCTGGCACAGCGACTGTCACCGTCGCTGTGCGAAACTCGTGGGCTGCGAGGGCGTGGAGGATATGCCGATGGCTCCTATGTTCACTGTTTACCGTTCCGTTCAAACGTACTCCCAACATTGCGTACGAAGGATTTCTTAAACCACTATCTACTCGAAGCCAACATCGTGAGGCAATGAGCTCATATGTGTGATTTTTCGGGCCCTCGGACCCCTGATACTTAAGCGTCAGCACCTACAACGAATCAAAAACTAAACCTGAAATCATTGGAACCCCACGTTATCAAATCTGGAGGTCATGGACTGCATGGGGGAGGGAGGTGGAGGTGAAGCTGGCCCTCCAGGGCCAGCTCCGATTTGCAGCGCAACCTGGCGCCTCACCCCGCCTTGAAGTTGTTCACGGCGGCAGGCCCGCGTTGTCGCCCCACAGCGCGCACGGGCACTTCTCGCCCGTCTCCTCCTCGTGCCGCAGCCACAACGTCTGCAGCACGAACATCAGCGCCGTCTTCACCGTGTAGGTGGTCTTCGGGCCCCAGCTCTTGCTCACCGAGAAGGGCGGCAGCTGCTTCGGGTAGGCGCCCACCCAGCGCTGGAACCTCTTCGCGTCCTTCTGGAGCGTCGCGAAGGGCGGCGCGAACCTCCTGGCCCACGCCAGCTCGACGTCTGCATCGGGAGCGGGATCATCATGCACTGTCCAGGCCCTCGGAGCTGTCGAAGCCGCTGGCGCCGCCGCCTCAAGCTCCATGGGCACGGCGCCGCCTCCAGAAGCTGACGACGAGGCCGCCGCTGCCGCTCCTCCGTTAGATGCAGACGCCTCGGGCGGGCCAGGACCAGCGCCACCCTTGCCAACCCTGTCCTTGCTGTTCTCCTTGGCCTGCTGCTTGCTGTAGTTCACCCTGGCCCTGACCTGCTCCGCGGCCTTCTTCACGACCAACATGTCGTCCGTATCCAGGCCCGTCTCGATCTTCTCCAAGTTCTCGGGGTCCGACAGCACTGAGGTCGCGCCCTTGGTCTCGTGGACCTGGCCTCTGCAATGCAGCGCGTTGTCGATCACCTCGTCGGAAGCGCCTGGGGTGATCTCCCTGATGATGGCTGTCACCATGCCCTTGACGTTAGTCGGCCGCGATGCAGAAGTAAACTTCATCTTCAACATCGACATCAACCTGGGAAGCCAGAAACTGTCGAGCTCCTTGAGGCCTCTCAGCGCGGCCATCTTCACAGCGTTCTCGGTCTTGTTATTGTCGATGATCAGTCGAGCCGCAAGGCCATTGCTTGGGATCATGGCAGAATACTTGGCAGCCCCCAGCGGCGAGAGCGCCATCACCTTGCAAACCTTGGTGCGCTTCAGCCCATCGATGGAGTTGATCGGCATGGTGAAGATCATGTCGGAGGGGTTGTGCTTCGCGCTCTGGGGCTCAACAATGTGGATGTCCGTCGTGCCCCTGACTGGCACGAGCGTGGCCCTCGAAACCATCAAACCGAATGGCATGGTGCAAATGACGATCCCACCTGAGGAATCAGAAAAAGGTTGAGCCAAGTCCAGATTTACCCACGCTTCCTCTGACGCCTATCGACGTTCGCATGCCGAAACCAATCCAGAAATCAGTAGAAGGTTTAGATTGGACGCCAAGTGGTAACGTAGGAAGCACACAAGATCGGAAGAAACAGGTTTGCATTGGCACCGCTGGCGCCATCAAGACACCCAAGACGCTTCAAACCAGATTGCCAGTCGACCGAACCACGCTTCTGAAATCTAGTTTAGATCCTACGTGGCTCCTGTGATTCATCTAGGCTCGAACTGTTTCAACACCTACATCGACGCACCCCCATGGCCGCCCATCCAAAAACATCAGCACAGGATGCGACACATCCTGACGGTGCAACATATTTGCCCCAGGCCCACTAGATTCGGATGGAGACGCATCCTGGCCCATCACGTACATGCCAGGCTCGATGCACAAGGACAGCCAGGAGAATTTCATCTCGGCGATGTCCCCCTGGAGCTTGCGAGCACTCTGCCACGCCATCCCGTGCTTCAGCATCCCCTGGCCGCTCAAGTGTGGGAACTCCTTCGCCGCGTCCGTGAAGACGTCCAGCAACTGCGGGTCCAGCGAGAACTCCGAGATATCAGCTCTGCAAAAGTCAGGCGTCACGTTCACGAGCTTCATGCTCTTGGAAGTCGGTGTGATCAGAATCCCCTTTCTGTCGTACTCCTTGATCAACTCAGTGGTGGTTGCCTTGTGCCAGCGAGAAACCCTGCCAAATACGCTCGCTTGGTGCGCGCGCTCCCTGGCACGGTAACGGTTGAAGAGGTCCTCGTTGATAAGGGTCGGCATCCACGAATTCGCGAAACCCAAGAGTTTGTCGAACGCCTCTTTACTCACATTCTTAAAGCTCTCCTCATACAGCATCACGAACATCTCTCTGGTCCACTGTTCCATTGGCCACCGCAACTGTCTCAGGTAGTGCTTTGCCCACTCGTCGTCGGATGCTTCGAGTGACTAAAGCAGGCGCCAATCCCTCTGTATGTCCAAGAGAACAGCCTTCTGCTCGATGTCATCAAAAGCAAGGAGGTCAAGGAACTTCCCAGGGTAGGTGTCGGAGTACGTCATGCTGGACAGCGCGAAGTTCTTCGACAACGACACGACGAAGTTGAAGTGCGTCTGGCAGAGAGGGTCTTCCTCTGAGGGACTGGCATTCAAAACAAATCACCACTGCTACAGTGTCCGGATCACCCGACACAGATTTTAGCAAACATTGCTTGCGGGATTCTCTCCGGCAAATCAAGACCTGGGCGCCCCGCGGAAATAGTTCGAAATGGGTTTTGTTCTAGTGCGCCAAAACAGAAACACGTGATCTGAGAGCCAGACTTCTTTAAACTACGTTAGCATGTTGCTTGTTTTCGAGCTAACGGTTAAACATCGACGGGCTTCCCCAGCGGCCTGGTTGGAAACAGCGGCGGATATAGAAACGCCAGCAACATCACGCACAGAGTTATGGGAAACGTATAACTTGACACCGCCAGCTGCAAACGTTAATACATGGTACACCATAGGGTTTGAAATAGACAGTGGAAGCCAAAACGTTCAAGCCAATGTGTGCGAAACGCGTGTTAAAACGTTTCGAAAAATCACGTAAAACATCTTTTCGGTAAAATTACACACGGATTGCATCAGAGCGCCTCGGGCGCGATATTCTTGTTTCGGACTGCAACTAACTTGCGGAGGTTGTCCAATTTCCTCTGGGCCTGCGCGCAACGGATTGAACAAGCAAACATTTGGATTCCGACAATGGCCTCGACTACCCAGGATGCCGAATTTTATTCCTGAAACAAAAACTTACACGCGGACGAAAATTCAACAAACTACCAAAGCGCCTAAACAATACTACGCCTTTTGTACCACCCGCAGCGCACATGAAACTCCCAATTCTGCTAGGCACGTGCCCCCACGCACAAACTGATCAGCGCCCCATCACACCCCTTCTCCCAACCCACGCACAGGCCCAGAACGATGTTTTTTGCCGCTTCCAAAGAAATTCCAATCCATTGCCCTGAAACGCACGCAGACTACCCTGTGCTCGTTTCGATTATATAGATATGTGCCAAAAGACACCCGATCGAACAGCATGATTGCACGATCTCGAATTCTGTGAGGTAGGACCAGACCAACGACATCACCAGGAACGCACAGACACACATGCTGATTGATGCACCGCCCGACGTTTGTCATACCTTTAGATTTCAGACAGGAGCGCGCAGTACCTCCTAAGGTCGCAGCGCGTGCGTTCGAAAGCACGTCGCCAAACAAAAGCCATTCAACAACAAACGCAAACGTTACCGAACAAACGTTGAAGAGATGATATCGCCATCGCGGCAGTCGCGCGAATTACCCCGCCGCCCACCAGCGCAGACATGCGCCAGCAGTTGCTAAACGTTTCGCGCTACGCGCGCATGAACGCCACCACGCCGCGCACGCAACGAATTGTGCAACTGTCAACCCCTGGGCGCGATTGTGGCTTACGCACTGCGCGCGCCCCCGAATGATCACGCAGCATAGCCCAGCCAACGCTTCTCAAGCTTCATCCGCCCACCAAGACATTGGCCGCCCAAGCTGCTACGCTGGGGCGGCGCGCTCGAGAGGCGCCGAGAAGCGCGCGCCTCCTGCGGCGCGCTCAAGCGCGCGACTGAACGCGCATGGGGCCAGCCGATTTGTTACAGGCGCGCGACCCTCAACAAATCCAAGAAGCGCCCTAGTGCGCCGATTCGAACTGCTCGCGCGTTAATGCCATTGAGCGCCCAGGGCCGCGCGCGAGCGACCTTGCCCCCTGCGGGCGCCCATCCAAGCGCGCGACCTCGGGGGCGCCCGCGTCGAGCGCCCACCGCGCGCGCAAAGGCAACCGCGCCTGCAAGCGCGGTTGCGCGCGAAAGCACGTTGCCTATCTTTTCTTCGCCTTAGTCGCGCGCGCAGTCGCCCCAGCGCGCTCGAAATGCATCCTGGGCGCGCACGCAAGCTTGCGCGCCGCTGAATGCGCGATAAAAACGCACCGCCGCTCGCCCGAGCGCGCGCGCCATAGAGCGCGCGCGAGATCGCTCAAGAGCGCGCGCCCCCGCGCGCGCCGAGGAGCGCGCCGAACTGCCGCCGTCCACGCGCGCGCTCGAATGCGCCCGTGCCAGAAGGCGCGGCCCCAGCCTGCGCGCTCCGCGCGCGCCCCATTCGAGCCCCCAACAACGCGCGGCCCCTGCTGGCAAGCTGGCGGCGCCCTGATACGTCCGAGCGCGCGCGCCCGCAGAAGAACGCTGACGCCGCAATATAGCGCGCGTCTGCGCGCAATTGCACTCGGGGCCGAATGGCAGCCGCAGACGCGCTCGCCCGATTGACGCGCGCCATGACATCGCAGAAAGGTGGGCGCGCTTGGAAGCTCGACGCGCCGCGCGCGCAACGGAGCTTTTCTTGCCAGATGCACAAAGGCGCACGCCCCTGCGCGCCCGCCTTCCAGGAGCGCCGCTGATCGGTTGAACGCATGCAAGCGATGCTGAACCCCCAAAACTAATGGTGAAACCCAAATGTAAAAATTCAGTCTCTGATCGGAAGACGGGATCATCCCAATGTGGGCATGCCATACGAAATACACCATGCAAAGCGCCAGCGCGCGCGCACGCGCGCCAACGCACGCGCACCGGCGCTCTGTAGTGTACACAATAGAAAAGTCGACGCGTCCGTCGGCCTCCTTAAAGAGCCACAGAAATTTTAAATTCAGTTTTGGAAATTCCATGTCGGCTTTTCTATTGTGGACACTACAAAATCAACGCGCGCGCGCCGCTGATAGGTTTAACGCATAGGAGCGATGTTGCACCCCCAACCGAATGGCGAACACCCAATGTAAAAATTCATTCTCTGATCGGAAGACGGGATCATCACAATGTGGCTATAAGATACGAGATACACAATGCGAAGCGCCAGCGCGCGCGCACGCGCGCCAACGCGCGCGCGTCGGAGTTCTGCATCGCCCACAATAGAACAGTCCACGCGCCCGTCGGCCTCCTTAAAGAGCCACAGAAATTTTAAATTCAGTTTTGGGAATTCCACGTCGGCTTTTCTATTGTGGGCACTACCAAACTCTTCAACGCGCGCGCGCGCACGCGGCTGCAGCGCGCCGCTGATAGGTGTAATGCATGGGGTGCGATGTCGGACTCACAAACCCAAAAGTTAAACCCCAATGTGGAACTTCATTCTCTGATCGGAAGGTAGAATCATTGCAATGTGGCTATAACGATGCGAAATGCACAATGCGAAGCCACCAGCGCGCGCGCGCCAACGCGCGCGCATCTGCGTTCTGCATCGTCCACAATAGAAGAGCCAACGCGCCCGTCTGCCTCCATGAAGAGCAAGAGACATCTTGAATTCAGGCTTGGGAATTACATGTCGGCTTTCCTATTGATTGTGGACAACAGAAAACTCCTCAACGCGCGCGCAAGCCTACGCGCGCGCGTGCACGCGGCGGCTGCGCGCCGCTGGTAGGTTTAATGCATGGGAGCGATGTTGAACCCCCAAACCCAATGGTGAAATCCCAATGTGAAAATGCATTCTCTGATCGGAAGACGACCATCCCAGTGCAATGTGGGCATGCCATACGAATTACACTATGCGAAGCGCCAGCGCGCGCGCACGCGCGCCAACGCGCGCGCATCGGCGTTCTCTAATGTACATGACAGAAAAGTTGATGCGCCCGTCGGCCTCCTTAAGGTGCCACAGAAACTTTGAATTCATTTTTGTGAATTACATGTCGGCATGTCTATTGTGGGCAGTACAGAACTCCTCAACGCGCGCCGACGCGCGCGCGGCGGCTGCGCGCCGTTGGCACGTTTAATGCATGGGGGCGATGTTGAGCCACCACATAAAACCAAAACTAAAAAACCCAATGTAAACATGCATTCTCTGATCGGAAGACGGGGCCATCTCAATGTGGACATGCGATGCGAAATACGCAATGCGAAGCGCCATCGCGCGCGCGTGCGCGCGCGTACGCGCGCGCATCGGCGTTCTGCATCACCCACGACAATAGAAAAGCCGACGCGTCCGTCGGCCTCCTTAAAGAGACACAGAAATTTGAAATTCAGTTTTGGGAATTTCATGTCGGCTTTCGTATTGTGGACCATACAGAACTCCTCAACGCGCGCGCGCGTGTACGCGCGCGCGCACACGTCGGCTGCGCGCCACTGATGGTTTAATGCATGGGAGCGGTGTTAAACGCCCAGACAAATTGTGAAAAAAACAACGTAAAAATTCATTGTCTGGTCGGAAGACGAGATCATCACAATCTGGGTATGCGATACGAGATGCACAAGGCGAAGCGCCAGCGCGCGCGCATCGGAGCTCTGTATTGTCCACAATAATAAAGCCGACGCGCCCGTCGGCCTTCTTGTAGAGCCAGAGAAAAATTAAATTTAGTTCTTTCACAATTTCATGTCAGCTTTTTTATTGTGGACAACGCAGACCTTCTCAACGCGCGCGCGCGCGCGTGCGCGCGCGCGATCGCGGCGGCTGCGCGCCGCTGATGGTTTACTCCATAATGGGAGCGATGTTAAACCCCCAAGCCCAATGGCGAACACCCAATGCAAACATCATTCTCTGATCGGAATATGGTATCATCCCAATGTGGGTATACGATGCGAAATACAAGGTTGGTTCAATGCACGGGAGCGATAGGTTTAACACATGGGAGCGATGCTGATATGTTACAATGCTTAATGCATGGAGGCGATGTTGCACCCCAAACGGCGAAAACCAAATGTAAACACAAACCCCTGGCCGGAAGACGGTATCATCCCAATGTGGGCATACGATGCGTCATGCATGAAAGTTTTTTCCGCACGGGGGCGAAAGGTTTAATTCATCCCAACGCACGCAACTGGTAGGTTCTTACACCCAAAATTGAAAACCAAATGTTAAATATCATTCTCTGTATGGGAGACGGGATCATCCCAATGTGGGCACGCGGTGCGAAATACACAGTGCGACCTCGGTTTCGTCGCAGACCTCGGTTGCAGCACCGCTAGCAGCTTCCGGTCCAGAGGCAAGCCGCTGCTTGATTGCGCGCGGGGGAGACTCTGGGCCTTCGCCGAAGCCATTTTGGCCCGAGCCGATGTCCAGCCACGAGCAGTGGCTCCTGGACTTGGCTAGCAAATACGATCATGATTGCATACTCGAACTGTGCCGTTTCAAAGCCAAACGGCTTAAGTCCAGTACTAATGCTGCAGTACTAATGCTGCAGGGGATGCTCCGACAGTACGAGGAGGTCGACGAGGAGATCAGCCACCTCGAAAAGCGTAGCCGCCGCTGCCGCGACGCCGACAAGGAGCTCGACAGGAGGCTCGAGCGGATGCGCTAGTACGTGCTCTCCAACGACGTGAACAAGGAGCTGCGCAAGCAGCAGGGGCCCATCAGGGGGCGCAAGGGTGACATTCCGATAGCAGCGGCAACGTTGGCGTCGGTAGGACCCCATAGCCTTTTAGAGGACAGGCGTCATCGGCGCAATGGGGTCCTAGTCGGCGCTCGCGGTGCCTTGCCCATCGGCATCTCACTCCTGCGCGCCCTCAGAGCATCGCAGTCGACGAGGTGGCTCCCAGGATGACTTTTCAAGAGGAACGTTTGTTCGTGGGGCGTGTTGAAGCGAAGTTGCCACGTGAACTCCGTCCCCGCATAGTGCGGTGCCTTGTCGCCGAGGCGAGGGGTTCTGGCACAGCCGCGCCAGTTGCGATTTCTATCGATGATGCTGGCGACCCTGGCGCTGCTGCTGCTGCAACTTTGGACTCGGTGCGCCTCGTGGGGGCGGCGACCCGCGAGGCCCCCTAGATGCGGCGACGGGCGTCGCGGCTTGAAGAACACCGACGGTGTTCTTGGAATGCGTTGAGTTTCCTTGAAGGCGACTCAGCGCATCACGCTGCCATGCCGCGCCGCGCGCCACCGCATCCTGGCAGCCCCGCCCACCTGGCAGCTCGGAGAGCGGCGGGTGGCAGACCTGCCCAAGCTGCGCTGTCGAGCGATTGGCACCGCCGCGGGGAACGGCGTAGCAGAGCTTCGCATCGTGAAGGACAAGCGGCCCAAGGACGCAATGATCCCCAGGGGTGACATGATCAAGTTACCGAACGAGATGTCCAATGTTACGCCTGGCAAGATGGTGGAGCTCTGGCTCGAGATCGTCACCATCTGCGACCCGTGCGATCAGATGTACTGGCAAGCTCGTTTAGCGCCCGAGCCGGAGCCAGCTGCCATGCAAATAGCGTGGCGCGTGCGAAGCTAATGCCTAGAACTGTTCAGATAAATAACCCTGGGTAGATGTTAAAAGTATCCTACCACCGCAAGGCAGGTGGGGCGAAGCAAAAGGAACTCCCCATGCGCCGCGAACCGCGCGAGGGGCGCGCTCAAATGGGGCGGGGCCACCATGCGAACCCTGCCGATCGACTCAAGTAGAACCCCACATGATGCCACGAACCGTGTGAGGGGTGCGCCCAGATGCGGGGCAACCATGCGAACCCTGCCACTGGGGCATTCGGTGGAGCTCCCCATGGGGCCGCGAACCGTGTGAGGGGTGCGCCCAAATGCGGGGCCGCCATGCGGGCCTTGCCACTGGCGCCTTCTGTGGAGCTCCCCACGGCGCCACGAACCGCGTGAGAGGTGCGATCAAGGGCAGCGGCGCGGGGCAGGCGGAGGAGGAGGGGGAGGAGGAGCAGGAATAGGAGGAGGAGGGGGTGAGGAGGAGCAGGAGCAGGAGCAGGGGCAGGAGCATGGGCAGGGGCAGGAGGAGTCGGGGGAGAAGGAGGGGGAGTGGGATGAGGAGG